TAGATATGTTTTAAAATGCAATTCAAAGCAGTTTTGGTTTCGATCATAGTAGGCTATATTCAAAAAAATATCGATTTTATATCTATATTAGCATTCTTTATCATTTATAATACCTAGATATGTTTTAAAATGCAATTCAAAGCGTTTTTGGTTTCCATCATAGTAGGCTATTTTCAAAAAAAAATATTTTGTATCTATATTAGCATGCTTTATCATTTATAATACCTAGATATGTTTTAAAATGCAATTCAAAGCAGTTTTGGTTTCGATCATAGTAGGCTATATTCAAAAAAATATCGATTTTATATCTATATTAGCATTCTTTATCATTTATAATACCTAGATATGTTTTAAAATGCAATTCAAAGCGTTTTTGGTTTCCATCATAGTAGGCTATTTTCAAAAAAAATATTTTGTATCTATATTAGCATGCTTTATCATTTATAATACCTAGATATGTTTTAAAATGCAATTCAAAGCAGTTTTGGTTTCGATCATAGTAGGCTATATTCAAAAAAATATCGATTTTATATCTATATTAGCATGCTTTATCATTTATAATACCTAGATATGTTTTAAAATGCAATTCAAAGCGTTTTTGGTTTCCATCATAGTAGGCTATTTTCAAAAAAAAAAATATTTTGTATCTATATTAGCATGCTTTATCATTTATAATACCTAGATATGTTTTAAAATGCAATTCAAAGCAGTTTTGGTTTCGATCATAGTAGGCTATATTCAAAAAAATATCGATTTTATATCTATATTAGCATTCTTTATCATTTATAATACCTAGATATGTTTTAAAATGCAATTCAAAGCGTTTTTGGTTTCCATCATAGTAGGCTATTTTCAAAAAAAATATTTTGTATCTATATTAGCATGCTTTATCATTTATAATACCTAGATATGTTTTAAAATGCAATTCAAAGCATTTTTGATTTCCATCATAGTAGGCTATTTTCAAAAAAAATATTTTGTATCTATATTAGCATGCTTTATCATTTATAATACCTAGATATGTTTTAAAATGCAATTCAAAGCAGTTTTGGTTTCGATCATAGTAGGCTATTTTCAAAAAAATATCGATTTTATATCTATATTAGCATTCTTTATCATTTATAATACCTAGATATGTTTTAAAATGCAATTCAAAGCGTTTTTGGTTTCCATCATAGTAGGCTATTTTCAAAAAAAATATTTTGTATCTATATTAGCATGCTTTATCATTTATAATACCTAGATATGTTTTAAAATGCAATTCAAAGCATTTTTGATTTCCATCATAGTAGGCTATTTTCAAAAAAAATATTTTGTATCTATATTAGCATGCTTTATCATTTATAATACCTAGATATGTTTTAAAATGCAATTCAAAGCATTTTTGATTTCCATCATAGTAGGCTATTTTCAAAAAAAATATTTTGTATCTATATTAGCATGCTTTATCATTTATAATACCTAGATATGTTTTAAAATGCAATTCAAAGCGTTTTTGGTTTCCATCATAGTAGGCTATTTTCAAAAAAAATATTTTGTATCTATATTAGCATGCTTTATCATTTATAATACCTAGATATGTTTTAAAATGCAATTCAAAGCATTTTTGATTTCCATCATAGTAGGCTATTTTCAAAAAAAATATTTTGTATCTATATTAGCATGCTTTATCATTTATAATACCTAGATATGTTTTAAAATGCAATTCAAAGCGTTTTTGGTTTCCATCATAGTAGGCTATTTTCAAAAAAAATATTTTGTATCTATATTAGCATGCTTTATCATTTATAATACCTAGATATGTTTTAAAATGCAATTCAAAGCAGTTTTGGTTTCGATCATAGTAGGCTATATTCAAAAAAATATCGATTTTATATCTATATTAGCATTCTTTATCATTTATAATACCTAGATATGTTTTAAAATGCAATTCAAAGCGTTTTTGGTTTCCATCATAGTAGGCTATTTTCAAAAAAAATATTTTGTATCTATATTAGCATGCTTTATCATTTATAATACCTAGATATGTTTTAAAATGCAATTCAAAGCGTTTTTGGCTTCCATCATAGTAGGCTATTTTCAAAAAAAATATTTTGTATCTATATTAGCATGCTTTATTATTTATAATACCTAGATATGTTTTAAAATGCAATTCAAAGCATTTTATGGTTTCCATCATAGGAGGCTATTTTAAAAAAAAAAAATATTTTGTATCTATATTAGCATGCTTTATCATTTATAATACCTAGATATGTTTTAAAATGCAATTCAAAGCAGTTTTGGTTTCGATCATAGTAGGCTATATTCAAAAAAATATCGATTTTATATCTATATTAGCATTCTTTATCATTTATTATACCTAGATATGTTTTAAAATGCAATTCAAAGCATTTTTGATTTCCATCATAGGAGGCTATTTTAAAAAAAAAATATTTTGTATCTATATTAGCATGCTTTATCATTTATAATACCTAGATATGTTTTAAAATGCAATTCAAAGCGTTTTTGGTTTCCATCATAGTAGGCTATTTTCAAAAAAAATAATTTTGTATCTATATTAGCATGCTTTATCATTTATAATACCTAGATATGTTTTAAAATGCAATTCAAAGCATTTTTGGTTTGGATCATAGTAGGCTATTTTAAAAAAAAAATATTTTGTATCTATATTAGCATGCTTTATCATTTATAATACCTAGATATGTTTTAAAATGCAATTCAAAGCATTTTTGGTTTCCATCATAGTAGGCTATTTTCAAAAAAAATATTTTGTATCTATATTAGCATGCTTTATCATTTATAATACCTAGATATGTTTTAAAATGCAATTCAAAGCAGTTTTGGTTTCCATCATAGTAGGCTATTTTCAAAAAAAATATTTTGTATCTATATTAGCATGCTTTATCATTTATAATACCTAGATATGTTTTAAAATGCAATTCAAAGCATTTTTGGTTTCCATCATAGTAGGCTATTTTCAAAAAAAATATTTTGTATCTATATTAGCATGCTTTATCATTTATAATACCTAGATATGTTTTAAAATGCAATTCAAAGCATTTTTGGTTTGGATCATAGTAGGCTATTTTAAAAAAAAAATATTTTGTATCTATATTAGCATGCTTTATCATTTATAATACCTAGATATGTTTTAAAATGCAATTCAAAGCATTTTTGGTTTCCATCATAGTAGGCTATTTTCAAAAAAAATATTTTGTATCTATATTAGCATGCTTTATCATTTATAATACCTAGATATGTTTTAAAATGCAATTCAAAGCATTTTTGGTTTGGATCATAGTAGGCTATTTTAAAAAAAAAATATTTTGTATCTATATTAGCATGCTTTATCATTTATAATACCTAGATATGTTTTAAAATGCAATTCAAAGCATTTTTGGTTTCCATCATAGTAGGCTATTTTCAAAAAAAATATTTTGTATCTATATTAGCATGCTTTATCATTTATAATACCTAGATATGTTTTAAAATGCAATTCAAAGCAGTTTTGGTTTCCATCATAGTAGGCTATTTTCAAAAAAAATATTTTGTATCTATATTAGCATGCTTTATCATTTATAATACCTAGATATGTTTTAAAATGCAATTCCATCATAGTAGGCTTTTTTCAAAAAAATATCGATTTTATATCTATATTAGCGTTGTTTATCATTTATAATACCTAGATATATTAACTTTCACGCAAAAGCGTGTAAGTTATTAGTTTTACCAAAAACACACTTTTTTTAATACAGCCTGAAGGACTTATTTTCAAAAATGGCAAAGGGTACCAAAATGTGTGTATTAGGAGGCCGGATTTTTCTGTACATAAACTTTTACAATTGGACATCATCTATGCCTTCAAAACGCCAAAAAACGTCTTTTTTGAATTTTGAAAATTTTTCGCATTCAAACGAATATATCTGAAGATTCAATTTTTTGAAGTTCTCGAGATAATAACATAGCTTTCGCGAATGAAAAAAAAAATTCTAAAGATGTTAGAGTTTTAATATTTAATTATATTTTCTTGACTTCTTTACTTAAAATTCAGTTTGAGATGTTTGTATTTTTTCAATGTCTGTGAAAGGATACTTTTGATGGGAGTCTTAGCTGTAGGAAGGGGAGTGGACGAGCTGTGCTCCACTCCACTCCACTCTCACTTCGTTGTGACATTGAAAGCATCTGTTAACATCTGTGTTCGATCTTTTTGAGAAATTTGAAAACTATTTTGTTATCTAACATAAGTCAAGCGTGGAAGTTCGTGGCTTTCTACGTAAGTCGTGTTTTTTTAAATATTTGATTCGAAAGTTTCCCACTGCTGATAAATCCAAGACTTTGTAAAGTGATTGACAGCACCAGAAACTGGTGCGACACTAAGCGCCAAATACCACACACAAACATATTTATGTCCACAAAGAGATTAATCAAAAATATCATTTTCTTGAATTCAAATCCGTTTAACTTCTTTCGTTTATGAACAAATGCTTGATCTGGCTTGAGCATTTCAGACATATTTTTTTTAATTTTCTTTACTTCTGTTTGGCTTCTGTATTGATATTTAAAATTTAAAAAAATACATACCTAATATTAATATCGTTTCCCATGGTCGTATTTTAGAAGAATATATTGTGGCTTTCAAACTAGGGTCAAATTATTATTTTTTAATTTTCACACTCACATTAGAAATATATTAATGACTTTTGACTCACGATTAAGGAGATCAACACGTACATAAAATTATGTTTTTGATTTATCAAAAGAACGAACAATTTCAATCATTTTGAACTCAAATGGACATGTAAATTTTGCTGTGAACACAATTAGCACCTTCTTTAATCCCTTGACGTATGCTTCTTTGAATTTAAAATGCTTATAAGTTTTTATTTACATTAAAACATTGTTGGGAAAATTGCATCTGAATTTAAAGCATATAAAGTCCTGAAAACAAAAATTTTCAACCATAATAATAATAGTAGTAAAAATAATAATAAACAAAAGTATTAAAGTATAATTCAGGTACCGCTGTTAATGAATTTATTGCTAAATTATAAACAATTAGATAGCTTATCTGTAAATGGAACCGGTGATGGAAGTTTATCTAAAGCCTCATTAAGTGTATTATATATTCTCTTTGCACAGTCATTAACAACATTATTTGAGATATCAATCAGCCCTTCAAATTTAGCAAAAATCGTTGGCTTGCAGTAAGTTCGAATCTAAAATGAATGAAAAGTATAAAAAAATTACTTTAAAAAATATACGCTTAAGTAAGTTAAACTTACAAAATTGTTGTAGTCACTACGTGATCTTGCAAGCATTATAGAACTTCTTATTCTTATTAGGTATCCAAGGGCAGTAACATGGTCTAAGTAAAATCGTGCAGAGTAGTCTGCTTCAGTCTTGTATGTGATATCAGCAAAGGATCTTGCAAGAAAACTACTGTAGCTATAATAAGCTAATCCAATCGTGTAATCATTATAGTTGATAGATTTTAGACAGTTTATGTTGTTTGAGCGTATTATCATATCTTTAATTTCATCAAACTGCTTCGACAGATCATCTTCAATTTTAGTATTTGAATTTTTAATATCGAACACAGGCTTCATCACGTCATTCGTTAAATGAGAAATTACTTTTGATATGACATCATCAAAAGAAGAAATACAGTCACAAAGTTCAGTTCGATTATCGCTCGCTGTTACAAACCCTCTAGAATTCGCACTCAAACTAGCAGAACGCCAATACAGCCAAGTTGATGCAACGGCTGTATCAAATCGATTTTGTATTAACCCATTTAAAGTAAATAAATAATTGTTCATTAAGTCGATGAAACCGTTCGATGAATCAAACATTGAAGCTTTGAATGAATCCGTAGGAAAATCGCAATTAACCTTGAAATAAGTTTACAAAAGAATCATATTGTATATTTAAATTTTTAATAAGATAATTGTGCATTTGAAGAAAAGGGGGGTGGGGGATATGCATCAATTATGAGCGATCTCAATTGAAAAAAAGAATTAATGAAACTGTTTTCAATATTAGAACAAGTCAAACTAAAAATGTTGTGTAAACACAGACTTTTTCTGATCAAAATTTCCAGGCATCATTGAAGTAGAGCTTTTAACTATGACTTGTGACGTCAAAACGTCAATTTACATATATTTTAAAATTTTAAAAAGATATGACAAGCTTTCTCACACGATTTAAAATAATTTTTTTTGGCAGTTCTACTTTTCGTGACGCCAGAATATTTCCATCAGTGCTAAAATTAATAACACGATATTTTTAACCAGATCACCCTTTAAGTTTTTCAATAATTTTCTTTAAATCACTACTGCACACACTACAAAATTAATTGCCACGCATTTACTTACAATTGCGATTGATAATAAAAATACTGGAAAGATCTTCATATTAACTTTTATTAAAGTAGATCTGTTCCTTATCAAGTCTTCACTATTTCTGTGAGAAGCAGAAAAATGTTCGAATTATCTCCGAATGTTGTCTGATTGGAAAGATAATAAATATCACAGTTGTTTAAATACGTATGCTTATGTTTTTCAAAATACATTCATCCTCGGTTCATCATAACTAATAAACATTTGTAATTACAATGTCTCGTTCTATTATCGTCATTAAATTTTTTTTTTCCAAGATTATTAAACTGAACTTTTTTCAATGATTTTAGTAAAATGAATATTGTTCTGCACGAAAACATGCAATTGCTGCGTTTTCTTTGTGTTTAAAAAGTCAAGTGATATTTTTTCATTTGTCTAATGCAGCATATTCAAAACAATAAATAAAAAAAAAATCCTACATTTTGTATAAATTGCTGGAAAAGAAAAACAATTCTATAGATCAGAATGAGAATATTGTGAATCGTAGAAATAAATCTTGAGTATTAATGGGGAAAAAAAATTTACAATACCCAAACTTGTCATTCGAAAAGATATCATTTCCCTGTAATTATCAAATGTGTTTCCCCTGTCTATCATCATCATTAAAATTTGAATCTTTTCATTTTCATAAGTACAATATTCACCGATTCCTTAACACATTGTTCCCTATTCAGTATTGTTTGTCACAAAATATTTAACTTAACAATTTCTGATGGAAATAAAAGTCACACAATGGAATCAAAAATCAGAAACGTATGTGCTTTATATTGATTACAAAGCAAGTAACAATAGGTATAATTTCCTTCAGAAATATTTTAAAAATAAATTTCTACAGGATAGGGGACAAAAGAGATAAAACATGACTTTAAATTTGCTCTGAATATTTTTGGATTATCTTCATAATTTCCTGCAAGCGCAAATTTTAGGGGGTCGTTCAGACTCTGTTATTTTGCGTTACGAATTAAATGAATGAGCCCTAATGATTTTAATCGATTGACAATTTGCTGAAAAATATAATTAAAATAACTCTTTTTAATTGGTAAAAATCCAAAATTTTATTATGAATTATTATGAATCAAATTGATTGTGAGTAAAAAACAAAAGAAAAATATATGAGTTAGGAACATAAAGTGAGAAATTAAAATAATTAATAATTTAGCAAAACAAAAAAAAACATGATGGAAATTTTCTTTAATGAGATATTAACACTTTAAAATTGAGAATCATTATTTATTTCCTGATAATAATATTATTAAGTAAATTCAATTAATTTGCAAGGACGTAGTATGATGGAAGGCATTGTAATGGGGAAATATTTTTCAAAGCACCGATGACTTCGTGTAAAAAAGTTTACATTGATATTTAAGGTGCAAACAATATCACAATGGTTTGGTTTTTACTTTCGCATTAAATTTCCAGCATGTGTAAAAGTTGATTCTTCTTTGCAATTGTTGACTTTTCATACTCCTTTAGCATCTGTTCAAAACACAAGCAAAAGTATTAGCAAAAAAAAAATCATAAAGACTTCTCATCTTACTTGGATATCAAAATCTTTTGCGAGTTTCTCCTCTGCTTCTGCATTTTCCCATATGATGGTTAGAAGTGTAGGATAATACACAGGTGCTAAATCAATCGGCAGCTTCGTAATTGACTTCAAAATAATGCATGATTGATCCGATGTTAATAAATTCTTTAAAGACAAATACATTTTGATAATTATTGAGCATATTGATATTTTATCGTTTACAAAAAACATTCAGAACGAGTAGTTCCTTCATGAGAACTCAAATGCTTTTGAAATTTTTAAGTAGCTATATGACACATAATTGACGGAACACAAGAACAAAGATCTGAGATATTTCAACTCAGAGATCATTTTTGGAGATAGCTTACAATAATTTTCAAATCCATCATGAAAACGATGAGAAATTTAATAAAGTTGCCAATTCACCATTTTTTTCCATTCTCTTTTTTTATTTCTTTCAATTCAATTGATGGAACCGTCACCATCATTATCATGATGCCTTATGATCGCGCCTTCTTTTCTCTACGCCTTCTGAATATTTTAGACTTTTAAGAAATGTATACAGCATTATATATAAAAAGAAGCATTAGTGTAGAAAGGTATTGCTGCTGGTATATTGAGCAATAAAATAAATTATCGACATGAAACGATCTAAATGGACGTCGCTTTCATTGTTATTTTTGTTAATTTTTATTGGCCAACATATTCTCAATTTTTTTATAATGTTCGTTCGTGTTTTGATTCTTGAGCAATCACAATCAAATGCTTGATATCGAATATTCATTGACTGTATTTTATCATTTACTATAATAATGTTTATGAAAAGCTACACTAGGCAAATAATAGTAGAAGAAAATTTTGTGAATTAGTGCTTTAAACTATTAATAATTAGACAGCAGTTTTTTCAATGTTGCACTTATATGGAAATATTAATTCACATGAATCGACAACAATAGAAAATTACACGCAAATGTAACTTTTTTCGCTACATTGTATCTAAATCTCTGACTATTAAGTAATTAAATTTAATGGATTTGAATGATTTTTTTTTTGCTTTTAACTTACCTGATTCTTTTTATGATTTGCACAAAAGTATCCTAGTATTACAACCAAATCTCTAATCACAGCCTTCATTTCTTTATCGTCGTTCTCACACAATTTTGGACCACAATAATTTAGTAAGATGGTGATAACGTCGAGAAACTTGAATGTTAATTTATCTTCATTTAGAATTTGCTGGAAAGATCAAACAGAATAACATGAAAATCTTCTATTAACATATTCACTTTGATTTACAGACAATAATGAATTAATTATTAGGATATATTTCAATAAAGGAGATAAAATAAAATTCTACAATTGAAAAACCATTGAGTTTGTCTCATGAGACTTGAATGGCATTTGAAGAAGAGAAACTCGCATGGGAATGATCTCGACATGAGCAAATATACGAAACCACAAATCAAATCAAAATGTAGATAGGAAGAAAAAAAAATAAAACAAATTCGCTCAAAACCAATATCATGCTAGTTAAAAAAGGAATAATGAAAAATTAATATTTGAATTTAATTATTGTTGAAAACTCGAATTATGGATAAATTTCGTCTTCAAGAGTTATGCAAACATAATCATCGTTTGTTTAAAATTAAATGCTCTTGTCGGTTTTTTTCTTTTTCCCCTTTCTTTTTTCTTTCAATAAGGATGATGCATAAAAATTACAAACATCGAAGGAAATGTTTGCATAACAGTTATCTCAAAAGTGTAATAATATTTTGAAGCTGACTCTCTCTTCGTATTGCAAAAATACATATAGGCACATAAATTAAATGTAAACACATCAGAACACAAATACTCAAAAACTTTTTTCTCTAACAAAAAAGTTATAAAGTGAATTTGAGATGATAACACACAGAGTACGGTCTTTTATGTATATTGTAAATTTATAAACATGTTGATCCTTGCTGAAAGTTTATGCCACAATTAATGGTAAAATATCCTTGCAAACAAAACTTTTTCAATTCAAAACTAGTTTTAATCTATTACGTTTTATGTCTTACCTGAAAACAGTTAATGTCAAGCAACGCAATTGCTTTGATAAGTCCATAACAAGAGCCGGCTAATGAAATAGTTCTTTTTGGAATATTTTCACCTGAAAGCAATTGAGAAGATTTATTTTTAATAATTATGATTCTTAGAGCTCTTTATATCTAATATTGTACTCGTTAGTAGAAAGTAAAGATGTAAATTTAAAAAAAAAGGTTTCATTTAATTAAGTTTGACCCAGTTTTAAGTAAAAATGTTATTTTTTCGTTCACGAAAATTTCACCACACGAAAAATTTGGTGAGTAAATTCAAAAAAACCGTTACAAAACTTTAAAATTGTTTACATATTTTTTTCCACGAAATTAATAATGATAGATTATTCTTGGAATTCCTTTATTATGTCCTGTTTTTCAAGTGACAATAAATTATCTGACTTTCTATTTATTATTAAAAATAATATTTGATTATGGATCCCTTAAAATTGAGAAATTGCATAATTAACAACGAGCTCAACAAGGAATACGAAGAACTAGCAAGAGAAATAGACGTAAGGCGTAAATTTTTTTCAACACATTAAATAATTATTTTTTATCCATTTCCAGCATGTTGTTCAATCAGGATTTCAAGAAATACTAGGAAATTATAAAAGACTTCACATTTCAAATATTCCATTCAGCTTCCGAGAAGCCGATTTGATAGCACTTTTTCGAGTAATTTAACTTTTTAACATGCTCACGTCTACATTCTACAATGTTTAAATATCTCATATTATAGTGTTATGGACCAGTTTTCGGTGCAGAAGTAATCTTCAATGAACGAGGAAGCAAGGTATAATTTTTAAAATTTTGACACTCCTGATTTAAAGCAAACTTTCATTATTTAATAGGGATTCGGATTTTTAACAATGTACCAATCGGATGCTGAGATGGCATTTCAAGCTTTAAACAATTGTGTCGTTAATGGACGTAGAATTGAGGTAACATTAGAATTTAAAGTATAAAAAATTACTACAATAAAAATCTTTTAGATAAATAATGCAACACCTCGTAAAGCAGCCATAAAAACTCCGCATAAGACTTCAGAGAACTCTACACAAACGACACCTCAACAATTACAAATTTTGTCTCATGCATTCACAACCTCTGAACACCTTCCAATTCCTTCGCCGTAAGCTCTTTTTAGGAATATTTTAAGAAGCAAAATGTAAAAAAAAAGCATTCTAATTTCAGACATAATTCATCTCAACATTATTATAATGTTGCTTCACGTATTCGACCATTAAAGTCCAAATGCAGACTATTTCCCCAATAATCACACTGGACTATAAAAAAATAAGACTGTAGAGTAGCTAAAGGAAAATATCAAAATTCAAAAATTTATATTTAGGAGCCATACGAGAAGAAAGTGGAAAACAAAAATTATGAGAATCAATAGGAATAGCCGATAATTCAGACGCCAAATAATTGTGTGATATATACATTTTTCCCATGCTACATAGGTTTTAAAAAGGCAATAAAGTTTTTAAATGAATAAATTCACTATACAATAAAGAGTGAATATGTGTAAAGCAATTATTTATCATTTTTTATGAATTCTCACATTATCTCATGTCGGGCATCACATCGAATAGCCCAACAGATTTATGGCGAGAAAGTCAATGTTATTCTTTTCAAATATTTACTTTCAGTAGCCGTTTAATGCCCACAAAAAACAAGATTCAAATCATTTTAATGATTTATTGTTGCCTTCAATTAACACCTTTTCGTCTTTACCATTCCGCAAGATGATGGGAAAAAATTACAGAATATATCATAGTCGTATTACTCACCAAAACTCATCGTTCTGTAAAGTAATGTTATGGTTCCAAATATTTCTGTTGATTTGACCAAAGACAAAAAGTCGAACTTATCTGTTTAAAAAACACACGAATCATAATATTATATAAAGTTATTTTCTAGTTTAAAGAAACTTACTTTTTGGGCAAATTTCAGTGATTTTCGTCAAGAGTCCCATCATTGACAGCAGCGGAAGCAGTAAACTCTGTTGATTCTCAATTGGCTCACGCACTTTCAGGCACTTTTTTGTAATCAGTTCTAAAATTCCCGATGCTGTTATATAGCTGTAAAATTTACAATGAAAAGTAAAGATGAATTTGTGCATTAAAATGTGTCTTTTATTATGATTGTGTTCTGTATAAATATTTATCCAATACTTGATAAAATAGTTCCTATTGGGAGGGAATATTTTAACAAGTGTCAAATCCACACGATACTTAAGATTTCACATCTCCCTTCATCTAGTTCCTCTTTTTTTTTGTCAAGGATTATTTAATAAATACATTCGCAGTAGGACGTTCATTTTATTATATTGTTAAAGACTCAAAGGGATAAATAAATAAAGTGTATTTACTTCATGCTCACTGACATATCTATGATGCGATAATAATGTTAAAAACATAGCAATGAGAAATAGTGTAGCAAAGTGTAACATCTCACAGTGAGAATGAGCACTAAATGGAGTGTAAATATTATGGCAAATAAATCAATTCATTCTCTTTGTGCAACACTCTTAATGATGATTAAAAATTTTAAATGCCAATGACATATTTTCCTTTACGTTCTGCATCAAATCATCACAATGATTTTACTTGCAGCATTTACTCACCATGCATAGTGAGAATTGTGAAGTTAAAAACAGTCAATTAACAGACGCATAAAAATGAAAAAATAAACACACGTTCAAATTATGAACTTTATAGAAAGAAAGCGAAAAAAAAAATACTTGAAAATCGTTTAAATAAACATAAAGAGAAAGAGAAGATGAGAATGGAATTGACAAAGCACATCTGCATAGACATCAGTAAAAAATTCTTGTTGTGACGTTGACAAGTTTTCTCGGTGGGTGTCCTGTTTCAACATTTATACAGTTTTTCATGTTCTAATGTAAATAGTAACTCATCTTAAAATATGGAAAATTCATTGCAAATTAATGAATGATAAACTAAATTCGAATTTCCATTCATGAATTGAAGTTCATAAAAAGCTATACTGTATAGCAAAAATGCATTAATAATAATCAATATCCTGCTAGGTGTTTTTATCAACCCCTCATTAAACAAGTATTAGATGTAAGAAAAAAGGAGAGCAAGTACTAAACATATCAAAAAAAAATAAAAGAGAATGAACAGTCGTTACATTTTACATGTATGACAGGGTCATTTAAACAATGCATACGTTGACATTCTTCTCAATGATATAATGTGCAATGCTATTCTGTGTTTCTTCAAAGATTCAATCAAACGATTTTGTTTTTAAATAGAAATGGATCAATTTCAAGAGCATTGCACTTAAATGAAAATGAAATTTCATGCCATCTGTGAAACAATCCCAATGATGATGATGAGTCAATCAAACTGCAATTTAAAGAGAGGGCATAGAACATAATAAAAAAAAGGAAGAGTCGCACATGATGTTTGCATACAATTGGGAATATACACAACGAGAAAACAACAAAACATGAAAAAAATATGCCGATGTGCATTTCTTGTCAGAACTAACACTACAACCAGCATGATATTAATGTTGCTATTTTGCCAACTAACTAGAAAACACATTGAATCATATACGTATGGTCTCTAGATAGATGTACCTTTCGATCATAACTCATGCATCCCCTCTTTCATATTTTTGATCTCTTTCCTCGTTATACAAACACACATAATTATGATGTTAATGCCTATACTGAAGTTCATAAAACTATTTTTTAATAGCTTCATAAGAGTCTCAAAAATAATGCATAAATAAAAAAATTTAAATCCCTCCTGATGTTTTTTGCTACTGCTGCCTACTACAGTTTAATTTTCCTCGCCTCATTTGATACCATAGTTTATCAAAAGATTTGGGATTTTTTTTTTATTTATTGAAACATCAAGCAAGTAGGGTTACGGATAGAAAATTAAATGTCATATGGAACGGGGAACTAAAAGGGGTGAGATTACTTTAAATAATTGAAATTATTATTTACATATTGTTGAGATATTCATGAAACATATCAAAGGGATGGATTGATATCAAGTTGTATGAATTTCATATTAGCAGAAACTGTTACAATTTTTCAATCAATTCAAAAGTGGAAAATTAAAAGCGGGACTTGCTAATCGGATTTTTTTTCTAAGGAATAACGCCCTCACATTGCCACACTAGAATTATCATAATTTACCTTATGGCATAATTTTAATATTCATATCTTTAGCTACTTTTTTAAAAAAAAAATTCAGCATGCTCTTTTTAATTTTTTCCCTCATCCTCGTTCAGTTAATCAAATAAATTTGAAAGTTTAAATCAATGAATTTTTTTATAGTTTTTTTGTAAAACACCGCTGAATTTTTTGGAGCATTTATCGTTCGTTTTGGTTGACAGACTACTTTTATTTAAGCAAAATTGACAGACAAAGCTGCGCCTTAAAAACTCAAATTTTAGAAAAACTCTGTGACATTCCTGTTTCTTAGAGGAATAAAATATATCAAATCAAATATACATTTTGATGGCTTAGGTGCCGCTTTATAAAAGCAATGTGCAAAATGAATTCAAGAATATTTTTATATATCACTTGTTCATTAATTTTCTTCTTTAAAAAGCGATGAAATATCAACGAGTAGAACGTGCCTTGTGTTATCGTCGTCCAATGACCATTTGTATTCAAATTTGGATAAGAAATTACATAGAGCAAGAGAATTAGTCACGAAAGAAATATTTTTCAATATAAAAGGAACATTTTGATTGAAATCAATAAAATAAATTAACATGCTGATATGATAAGCCACAAATATTTTGCCGTCACTTTATTGTTTCCTTTAGAGAGCCTATGCGTCGTTTCGTGATTTTTCAGGTCCACTATATAAGCATTCTAGAACTCTTGGATATCTGTTTATAAGGTCCTCATTAATCATAAAAATTATTTATTAATGGAGGTAAAACTCAGTAAAACTTAAGAAATGTTTGTTAAAAAAGATGAAATTTGAGATATCAAATCTGAAGTTCGTTCCATTAGTATTAAAAACTATAATCCACAAATATCCAGACAAGCCAATCGCGGAATAATGTTGAACAGGGAATATAAATTTTTTTGAAAGAATTCTTTATCATTTTTTTTTACATGAAGTCTATAAATTTAGGTATTAACGTCTGAAAGATATTTTTTTTCCTTACTTTAATCTCATATTGCGAAAAAGGCTGTTTTGCATAAAATTAAATACAAAAATTATGGAAGAAAATGTTGACAATTTTTGTTTTCTTATTTTTTTTTTTGGCATATATAAATAAAAAATTACTAATGCAACATTAAAGACACTGACAAAAGAATATGAAAATATAGCTATCCTTGTCTACAGAAAATGAGAAACAGACAGTATCGCCATCTAATGGCAGGAAATAATTGACAACACTCACCTAAGAAGAAGTTCGATACGTGTGCTAAAAATAACTGCAGCATTTTCACTTGTTGATAACTTTAAATTCGACAAGACAACAGTGAGAGCAAGAAATATTTCAGTAGATACTTCGACTGGGCACATTGGAGTCTTTTTGAGTTCAATTTCTGGATTCTGTAAATTGATTCATAACAGATATAAATAAAATGAATCTCAATCCATCACATAAAACAATTACCTTTAATGTATAAATTAAGGCATCAAGTAATTTGATAAAACTTCCGCCTAAAATTGAATGCTGAGCAATTTGTTTGCAACTACTGCTTGCATTTCGATACAATTGTATAGCTTTAATAACAGCAACACGGGAAATATCTGAGTTAGGCTGTAATCCATTTTCTATAATTGAAGCTAAAGTTCCAAGTCCGTCTAATAACCATATACAATGGAAATCTACGATCGATGACTTTTCAATTATACGAATAATCTGTCCACATGGTCTTTCCGTTCCCAATTGGTTGTTTCCTGATCCATTGTTTAATGTTTTCTTTATTGCATTCAAAAGTTTTGGAATTTGAGATTGCTTTCGATGATTGGTTGCTAACTCTGGAAGCTCTTCTAAATATGTTTCGTTGCTAGAAAAAAAAAATTATTACGATAAATTTATGCAATGAACTTAAATTAATTAAACTTACAGATGATTAAACTTTTCCTTGATTTTCTTCATCTTCTTTTTGGCATTTTTAATGGATTCTCGAGTTCTTTCAATGTTTTCTAAATTTTCATCTTCATCATTTTGTGACTTGTTATCATCAGGACTTCGTTGTTGTGCCAATTCAAAAGCTCGATGCCTTATATGCTCCAAATTTTCTTCATATCTTTTCTGATATTCTTCTTGCTTTTTCGTTATTTTACGTTGCAGTTCCTCCGTATCTTGTAATTGCTGTTGCTGTATAGCTAAGAGTCTTTTATCGCGATCTCTTTGCTTCTCTTTTGCTATATTTTGTCGTAACTTTTCCTTTTCCTCCTGTATTTTTTCAACTCTCTGTTCTCGTTCACGACGTGTTTCATCCATTCTCTCTAACTTCTTCTTTCGTTCAAGCTCAATTTCTAATCGCCTGCGCTCTACAGCTGCTTCCTTTGCAAGTTTTTCAGTCTGTCTTTTTTGTCTAAAACAAAAATCAAATTAATATAATTCCAAATTCAATTGTTTTGAATTTTTTTTTTTTTTTTTCGTTGAAGAACATTTAAAATCTTTTTGTGAGGATACTCTCGCTGTATCCACAATTTACTTTAATTTTCAGACAAAACTCTTATACTTCACAAGACTATGTTTCAATAAAATTACACAATCATTTGCTTTTTAATAAAAACAATGGTTTATAAACTTTTTGGAATCAATTTTAAGTATTTTACTTTGTAATAATTGTGTTTTTGCACAATGAATGGAGAAGTAAAAAAATGTCCGAATCTTAATAAAATCAAAATTTTCTAACTTTCAAAGATTTGATTTTTCAGACAAAATAATAAAACAAAATTTATTCTAGACCATTATATAGACCTTGGCAAACGTGCTCAAACGATTCATGCCTCAATGGTATAAAATAAATGCCACAAGCATTGCATGAAAGAGCGTGCTTAGCGCAAATTCAGAGCATATCTATTCAGGAATATAAAACCTAAGGAAATTATACTAATTAAATTGTTACCTTTCTTGCTCTAAATCTTGTCTTCGAACTTCTTGCTCTTTGCATGACTCGATAAAATCCAGCATTTTATTTTGCATTTCTAAGTTCTTAATAAATGCGATTTCTTTGAGTTTTTCTTCCTCGTCGTGCGCTTTCCTTATTTTATTCTTTAAGAAATTTTCTCGATTTTCTGTTGCCCTCTGTAACTTTTCTTCCATTTTCAGGCGACGATTTTCAATAAGCTGATCTCTAGCTGCCTTTACTTGCTCAACTCTTTGTATAAGATGTTGAATTTTCTGAGCCTTCTGTGTCTGAATCGTAATACGTTTTTCTAATGCTCTACTATGCTTCACTTGATACTTTTTGAGAGTTTCTCTTACAGATCTACGTCTTGAAGGTGATGACAATTTTTGATGCAACTTCTGTGCCCTACCAGGATCGCGTTTAAAGAATTCCTGTAAAGTTGCCAAAGTCTCTTCTCGCTCTTGCACAGACATTTCAGCTAACATAGGAGCATATCGCATTTCTAATCTCATTTCTAAAGGAATATTTTCATCTCCAAATGTCGAATCCTTAATTGACTCTAAATCATTATTTTCAGAGCTCTCATTATCGTCTAAATCACAGAGAATAGCTTCACAGTCTGTCTCAATATCCGTATCAATTGAATTTTCTAATTCTCGAATTTGCCTCTCTAGATTTTCTTGTTCTTCTACTAATTTTTTTTGATCGTCATCCGATTCTAAATCTCTTTCTTCAATTTCCTCACAACTGGACAATATTCCATTGATAAATTTTGTCTTACTTTTCATGTTTCCTAATTCCGAGTACAACTCGTCAATTGTTTGGGATATCAAAACAGTTTGAGTATTCATATCAACTTTTGTCTCATTAACATTATCCTTTTTCTTCTTACCAGATCCTGATCGTTCATTACGTAAATATTCTTTATGTAAGGATTTAATTTTTAATCCTGTAATATCCGATTTTTGTCTCTTAATAGTATTATTTTGAAGCTGCTGATTTTGTTGGTTTTGTTTGCTCACAAGTGGTTGTTTAGATTTTTCGGTAACTACTGCTTTTTTGGGCGGATTACTATTAACTTTTGCTTTGACATTCGATACCATTTTTTTATTCGATTGAGATAAAATGACTGGTTTAACTTTAGGCGGAATTGGTTGTTTCGTTATTGGTGCTACCTTTGCTTTTGTTTTGTTTTCCTTCTCCTGTAGCTTTGTTTTGGATGCTTGTTTTGACTCAACACGAGATATAGCTTTTTTATCTTTAGCGGTTGGTTCCTTATCAGAATCTTCAGAGTTTTCATTTAGTAATGTTAAAGTCGGCAAACTTGATGATGCACTTGGCTGGTCAAAACGAGAATTAGCCCAACTTGAACGTCTCTTGTTTTTAACAATAAACCATTCTCCATCATTGCTAATTTTCGAGTCTGATCTTTTTGCAATTTTATTACTGCTGCCTTTTAAATTATTCTTGGATCCTAACTTTTCGATGCTAGCTTTAAGTGTCGAAGACGAGCTATCTGTATTATCTTCTGTAGAATTTTTCTTCTGAAGTTCACCCGCTTTAGTGCTAAGAGGCTTTTTCTTAGAGATTTCAATCATGGTTTTTGATCTTCCAATAAAGTGATTTTTCTGCACATTATCAATAATGGCAATGTTACCTTTATTATTATTTAATACTGAATTTCTGGCAGGAATGTTATTTATTTTTGGAGCACGACTTGTTCGATTTACTACTTGTGCGCTGGTGGTTGGTTTTCGTGCCACTTTATCTGGAACTCGGTGATTTATTGTTTGATTGCGTAATGAGTAATTAGCTCTTATTGGAGTTTTTGATTTTAATTGAACTGCAATTACTGGCTTTTCTTTTTCAATTGGTTTAAGAATTTGAGACAAAGGAGTGACTTTTTCAATGGGTAAAGTCGGTGATGGTGATTTACTTGTGCATTTTTCGGATTCTAAATTATTTTCATTATGTTCCTCAATAACGTCCGTTTTTGATCTATTTTCAACTTCTTTCTTTACCAAATCCTCTTCAGGTTGATTTTTTTCCTGTTGAATAACTTTGATATTATCGTCGATGCTTTCATATTGAGAAGTTGGCACTTCTATTGGCGACACAATTTTTGGAGCACAATATTTCTCGATATACTCTTGAAGTGTGAGATTATCATCAATCATTCCTTCAGTTTGAACAGCAGCATCGTCTTTAATAACCAATAATCTAAAATCGTGATCTTGATTTAAATTTTCTAATGATAGTGATTTAGGCTTTTGCAATGATAGTGATTCCTTTTCTTCATCACACGATTCCTTCAAGTATACAACAAGCTCTTCAAATTTCTTCTCTTTCGCAGACAATGAGTCACTAGCCATTTCAACAACTAAACTATCCTTCACTGTATTTTTAGTTCTGTTTGTAACTTTTTTATTTTCCTCGATTGTTGGATAGTTACATGATGGACTGCTTGTTCCCGAATAATTTGGTGATGATTTTCCAGACATTGCTGGACTATTTCGATTGCGAACTCGTGGAACAGCATTGGTTTTACGAATTTCCCAAGCTACAGACAATGGTCTTTTAGGTGTTTTTTCGTAATCCCAAGACATTTTAAAGAAATTAGCTAATGCTTTAAACTCACGAATATAGTTTTCAAGCACTAATATTGCTTCCTGACAAGACTCAACATTTTCGTAATATTCAATTGTTTTGTAGATTTCATCAATAGCTCGTTGTAAATTACCAAATAGAAAAGCCCAATATCTAGCCAAAAATTCGCTTCGTTTGTCTCTCCCCGTCGAGGCTGATCTTATTCTTGGGACAGGCTTTATATCAGACACTTGTTTCTGGATGTTTTGATTTCGATGAGATGATATTTGCGACCTTTTTTGTTCTAAAAAAATTTTTTTCGTCTGTCAATAAATCTATCTGATTAAGTCTGAGAAATCTAGTCTTACTTGTTGTAAAATCCTCCCTTTTTTCAAGAAGAATAAAGTTTTTAGCTTCACGTTGCTCATACTCATTGAATTTCTGAAAATCCATTCTCAAAAATTTATGATCTGTAATAAAGAAAATGTATGAGTCCTACGCAAAAATTTCAATTTTTTAATAATTATTAATCATTGAACGGATCTTAATTTAATACTTTATTGATTTGGCATTTAGTTGAATATCCTAAAAGTTTTCTTCGTGGAAATATCACTAAATCATGTTTTTAAAACTGTTTAAATTAATTTTTTCTTTATATTAATATCTTTTTTGATGAAAAAAAAACAAAAGAATATTTTACACATCAAAACATATGGGATTGAAATTCAAAAAAAAAACGGTTATGTGAAATTTCTCCCAAACATTTGTAGCTGAAAATAAAAGTATCGTGTATGATGTGCTTCAATCACCAGATGCATATGTGTGTATCCAATTCCTCCATCTATAATATAAGCCTTTCCAACTGTGGACGATTGCTGTGCATATATCATCACTTGTGTAATATAAAATTGTTCTTGTTTTGGAAATGTTATATCCAATAGAAAATCACGAAGCTCGGGAAATTCATATTTGTCAAACATTTCATATCTAAACGAGTCACCTCTAATTCTTTTTCCCCCAATATACCATTTATGTTCCTCCAAATAGTACGTGTCTGCATTGTCATTAGTCAAATATTTCTCCTTTTCGATTCTTTCGATCACTTTTACATTGAAAATATTGTTCGAGTTATTTGTAAAACCTTTAAAGTCCAACGAATTGACACAAATGAAGCAAGTTACTAAACTATACAGAAACAACATGTTGACTTCAATTTATATTTGAAAAGAATTCCCTTTATATACTAAAATATTGGCATTGTTCAATTCTCATGTTAAATTTATGATAACGTGCATCGCCTTATGAATTTTTATTAGCAAGGTATTTATTTTTCTAGAGAACTTATAAATTATCAGAATTAGTACATTTCAACTTCATTATCAGTAAACTTTAATTTAACAATAATCGAGTTTGGATTTGTGACATCGGCAATTACCAACTCCTGTCCATCAGATAAATTCAGTTCATGTAAAGATTGAGTTAAATTACAGCGCGTTTGTTCTTCAATACTCTTAACAGTTGACATATAAAGAGTTTTATTCTTTCCATTAAGTGTTGTTGTTAAGCCTGGATTTTTGAGCTGATATTCAGGATTGTTGCATAAATAGTCGATAAGATCTTGAAGTGTCATAGAGCTTGGATTCTTAATAGCAATTGTTCGTACTTTAGAGCTACATGCGAGACATTCTGGATTCTTTTCGGCCTCATATTTGTATGTATATATGCCATCAATATCGTTGAAAACCATGTAATTGTTTAAATATTCGTAACAGCTTGTAGCAATTTTAAAGACTTCTGATGCGCAAATTGCAGCAATGACTAAAGTGCATGATTAAAATGATTTTTTTTTTATGATCATAACATCATTTGGAAAACATTTTAACTTACCAGCATTTGTTGAGGAAACAGCAGGAATGATATTTTTCAAAACACCCTGAACTAGGCGGTAAGTCAATCCAGTAATGTTGAATTTGTTGGCTCGTTCTTGAGCTTTTTCAAAAACAAATGATAAGTGCTCTGGATCATCTCCATCTAAAGCGCAATTAAATGGATTCTCTTTGTCCCAAAGAATCACTTTGACATATTCAATACAGTGTTCAGGCAATCGTGGCGTGTTAGCGATGGTACATAAAGGATAAGAAACTTGCGGAGGATACAAATCAAGAGTACAGTCAATACATGGCGATAAAGTAGGTAAAATAACTCGAGCATTTCCTTTGAATCCCTCAGTTCCACCATCAATCATTGGGACAATTGTCGACACGTCTGGATTTCCATCATCATCATATTTTACTAAAGATATCAGCATTCCATTAATCCATCTTCTGGCTACAATTGAATCAAGGCCAGAAACAATAACATGAAATTGTCGATAAAATGATTCATCATAATCTTGTATTTTGCAGAAATGAGGAGTCACTTTACAGCCAGCAATTCTCTTGTTAATAAACTCAGCTGCTGTTTCTGCTTTAGACTTTCCAATATCTTTACGTCTAAACAGGAATTGACGATTCAAATTTGAAAGTTCTATTATGTCCATATCAATGACATCAATATTCTTGAATCCCATCATTGCGAAATTCTTCAGTAATTCACATCCTAAACCTCCTGCACCTGATTAAATTAGTTTTTTAAATACTATTAAGCAATATTTTTTGCAATTTTATTATTATTACTTACCAATGACCAAAATTTTGCAAGTATTGTTTAAAAACTCCAAAATTTCACCTGATGGCTCGAACGTTTCCTGTTGAAATGGACCTGATCGTTCTAATATCTTTCTTAAATAGTTCCATTTCTTATTTAAAGGTACTATTTCGACCATAATTAAGATTTAGTTTAATTTCACAAATTCCGGTGTTTTGACTATTTTTTGAACTAGTCATTTTTCCTTGAATTCACTATAGTCCTGCGAGTCATGAACTTCCACACTAATTATTTGTACAAATTGTTATCGCATCTTAATGCTGCTTAATGCATGTTTTTATGCGTATTTATATGGTTATTGCTAATTAAAGATCAATACTAAGGACTAATTTAATAAATTGATAGAAAGAAAAGAAAGAATCTAATATATAAAAGCACAATTCACTGATTCACTTACTCTGGAACGGAAGCCATGTGAAGACATTTGTGAAGCCGCGTGAAGACAAAAATTTAAGGAGTGTTGACAAGGTGATTGTCAGGTGGGTGTGGGTGTCAGGTGGGGGGTGGGGGATGGGGACAAGGTAAGTGTCGATATATTTTGTGAAGCCAATGATTTGAGGAGTGCTGACAAGGTGGGTGTCAGTTGGGGGGGGGGGGGGGGGTCCGAATTTGAGGGGGTTTATGGGAAAAGTTTGGTGTCAGGAATATTTTGTGAAGCCATATATTATTTTGTGAAGCCATGTGAAGTTTTGTGAAGCCATGCGAAGCTTTGTGAAGACATGGTGGGTTTCGGGGGAATTAAAGTTTTAGTGGGATTAAGGGGGTCCGAGTTTGAGGGGGTTTGTGAAGCCATTTATAAAATTTTTATGGGATTAAGGGGGTTCGAGTTCGAGGGGGTTTGTGAAGCCCTGTGAAGTTTTGTGAAGCCCTGTGAAGTTTTGTGAAGCCATTTATAAAATTTTTGAGGGATTAAGGGGGTCCGAGTTTGAGGAGGTTTGTGAAGCCATGTGAAGTTTTGTGAAGCTATTTATAAAGTTTTGGCGGGATTAAGGGGGTCCGAGTTTGAGGGAGTTTGTGAAGCCATTTATATAGTTATTGTGGGATTAAGGAAATCCGAGTTTGAGGGGGTTGTGAGGCCAAGTGAAGTTTTGTGGTAGGATTGACCTTAAAAACATTATGGTTATTTGCGTCTTACAGTTATTTACATAATAATAATCAAATTTTAACCCTGATAATAGGCGCCACTAGTGTATAGAACAAATCATAATGATGTAAAGCTTTTTGCCTGGAAGATAAAAAAATGAATTAATTTTTTAACTTTTCCAAGAAAGCAATACACGATAATAAATTACGTGATAAATTAAAGATATAGCATTAAAGGTCATTAATAGTCATTGGTTTGTGTTATTGAAAATCAAACGAGCAGAAAAGATCATCACTTACTTTGGATTGGAAAACTCATTAAAAGAAAAAAGAAAATTTTTCAGAAATAGAAAAATTTTAATATTATCAAAATACGTCCTATTATTATATGATGTTTTTGTGAATACTGTGTTATTTAGTATATACAATTAAGTGTTATGGCGACAATTGAAGAACTTCGCTCTGAAGTAGAGCGATTAACAAGAGAGCTGGATCTACAAAGTTCTGAAATCAATCAATCAGCAAAGTACGGATTAGGGCTGTTGGAAGAGAAAAAGAGTTTGGAAGTAAAGTGCGAGGAACTTGAGAATCTATATGAAAACACAAAACACGAACTGGAAATTACTCAGGAAGTAAGTAAATACTAAAACTGCAAAAAAGAAAATTGAAATTCCAGAACGTCCATTTCTTTAATGCACATCTCTTTATGAAATTAACAATTTTTCTTACTAGTATGGCTGCTAATTGTTAATTAAAGTTGTGATAATCACAGATTATTTTTAATCGTATTATTAGATTTAATAATAAGAAAGAAATGCAATTAAAAGTCACTCAAAATGGTCATAATTAGGAGCTTATTTGTTGATTAAGTTAAGAAATCATCCGTAGCAATACAGTTTGTCATCAATATTAAGTCATGCAATCGAATGGAATATTGTGTGCAATCCTTAATATTGCCAAACCTTTTCAATGAATTCAACTTTTTATTTTGTTTTACCATACATACACACAGTTTTTTTTGCCAGCATGACGTATTTGAAAAATTATTTTTATCCAATTTTGAATGAGTGAATCATAGTGTTGAAGCTTCTTTATTGTTTGATTTTAATTTTATTCCATTTGAATAATTGTAACTACCTTTTTTCTTATTATTTTTATATGCTTCTTTTTCATGCATCTACATTTCATATTGCATTACTTACTGTATTATTTCTTTCTTTCTTAACATAGGCTCTCACAAGATTTCAATCGAGTCAAAAAGTTACGACAAAGACTGGAATTGAACAAGAAGATGCTCTCCTCAATGAATCAGCTGCGATGGAAACGTCCCTTAATATGCAGATTCTCGAGTTGGAGAATGAAACCAAGCAGCTACGACATGAATTGGAAAGGGTCACAAACGAGAGAGATCGAATGCTTCAAGAAAATACAGAAATTGGTCGCGATAAAACAGGCTCAGAAGCTGAAAGGATGAAACTTAAAGCAGAATTGAAAGAGATGAAATTTCGTGAAACTCGTATGCTGCAGGAGTGCTCTGAGTTAGAGGAAGAGAATATTGTGTTACAGAAGCAAGTTTCAAGCTTAAAATGCAGTCAAGTAGAATTTGAAGGTGCAAAACATGAGATTAGACGACTATCTGAGGAAATTGAAGTTTTACAGTCTCAAGTACAGGAACTAGCGAATCTAAAGAAAATCGCTGAAACTCAAATGGAAGAGGCTCTTCAGGCACTTCAAACAGAACGCGAGGCAAAATATGCATTGAAAAAAGAACTTGATAGTCACATTAATCGTGAATCTATGTATAATATTAGTAATCTTGCATATAGTATTCGCGGAATGGAAGAAAGTGTTGAAGGAGATGACTTAGAAAACGACATTCCTACATTGAAGCGACTTGAAGCTGATTTGAGTAACGAATTAAAATCTCCTGATGGCACCAAGGTTGATTTATTCTCTGAAATTCATCTAAATGAGTTAAAGAAATATGAAAAACAATTGGAAATGCTAGAAAACGAGAAAGCTAGTTTAACAACCAACTTGCGTGATGCTCAACAAAGTCTAGATAAGAGTCAAAACGATTTACAAAACTTTATGGCCAAAGTTTCATTACTGGCTGCACACGTAGATTCATTATATCAGCTAAGAAGACAAATTGAAGCTGATGATCAAATGAAAGAATTTGATCGTGAGAAACAAAAGATAATGAATGAGAAGCTTAATAGTATTGTTCATCAATATAACACCTGGTTCTCGATTAGTGCTAAAGAAATTGATGTATTAAAAACTGACTTGACGGAGCTTCAAAAAGGACTCAACTGTAGTGATGCAATGACTGTTTTAAGAAATGAAATAACAAACTTAAAAAATAAACTAATTTCATCTGAACAAAAAACTCTAGATCTTCACGCAGACGTTCAAACTTTATCTTCCCTTGCACAAAATGCAGGACAAAGTTTGAATTCAACTCGCGGTACATTGGTATCATTAAGTGACGATTTAGCACAATTATATCATCTTGTGTGCACCGTAAATGGAGATACACCAAGTCGCGTTTTACTGGACCATAAAACTGAAGATTTGTCAATGGACAATGACTCACTGAGTGCAATTCATTCCCAACTTAAATCTGATGTCTTGATTGCACTTCCAAATGTTTTTGAGGATTTACAAGGACTTGGCGACGCCATTGAAATTAAAAGATATGTGGAAACCATCAAGGATCAAATTAAACACCTTAAAACGGCAGTTGAACATGCCATTGAGCTTAACAAGGATAAAATTCCTGGCAATCTTAGTGGTAATATCTTTGTCGATTCTTTTATTATTATTTTATATTGATTATAATATTATTTTTGTTTTTGTAGCTTCAGATAAAGAAACAAATGAGGAAATTGCCGACTTACAAGAACAGATCATTAAACTCAAGTCTTTATTGTCCACAAAACGTGAGCAAATCGCAACTTTACGCACTGTCTTAAAATCCAACAAGAATACAGCTGAAGTAGCATTAAATAATCTAAAATCAAAATATGAAAACGAGAAATTATTCGTCAGTGATACAATGTGCAATTTAAGAAACGAACTGAGAATTTTGAAAGAAGATGCAGCTACATTCTCAAGTAAAGCTATCTTTTTCACATTTAATTGCAAAAATTAATTAATTAACGCGAAAACATCATTTTAGGTCTTCGAGCAATGTTTGCAGCCCGTTGCGAAGAATATGTAACGCAAGTTGATGACTTAACAAATCAATTGACAGCAGCTGAAGATGAGAAGAAGACATTAAATCAATTGTTACGTCTTGCGGTACAGCAAAAACTCGTCTTGACACAAAGAATTGAAGAATATGAGATGGACAAGTAATTAATATTTTTTTTTTTCATTATGAATGCTGATCATGTATCATATGACATTTAATATTATCACATTTGCTTGACATTACTCAAATGCATTAATTTCATGAATATTCTTTCTCGTTTTCTATAGGGAAATCCGTCATGCAAATGTTCGTCGTCAGGTGCCACAAAGAGGAGGTGGAAAGTCAGCATTCACCAGATCATCCTCTGGTCGTTCGAACAATAATTCAAACTTCTTCTAACAGAAGTTGAGCGTGCAGCGAAAATTATTAGCATTCGTTTATACACTTTTAAATATGTAAGGTAAATTATTATTAGTTATAATTAACCCATCTCTTTTAAGGATGGAATCCCGTTGATTATTATCTTACCTTTTTATGAGATATTTTTCTCTTTGTTTAAAAAAATGCTGTACGCAATGTAAAAAAACTTTTTCATTTCTTTCTTTAAAAGAATTATATTATAACTTGAAATAATCTTCTTATTGAAATAGATCTGTTTACATTTCAATTGATCGATGTTATTTCGTGCTCAAAATGTCACGAATTTAAAAAAAAAATTCACGTCCAAAAAATTTAAGCAAATGAAAGAAAAAGAAATTAAAATTTGAAAAATTTCTAAAATAATTATACCGAGCCATTACAAAAAAAGAGGAAAGCTGAATGGATTTTTTTCATAATTGGTCCGCCGTCCCTTTATTAAAAAATGAAATGTTCTCAAAATTTATTAGTTTTTTTTCTTAACAATAATTATTAAACAATTAAAAGAGTTGAGAAATAAAGGAACTATAAGAATATTTTAATTTATTTATATTGATAATTCCTGCCAGTCGCATATCAGTAATGACAAACTACAGAAATGGTCCATAATGAACGATATTATTAAACATGAAGGGTATTTTATTGAGACCATCAAAATAAGGGAATGATGAGAAAGAAAGAAAAAAAAATAATAGCTTGTGTCATTTTAATTTCATTTTAATTAACAATATTATTGCATTTATTTTGGTACTTAAAAATAAATTCTTATTAATTTATAACTTATAAACTTATTAGAATGGACTTGTAGAGTTAAAAACAATTGAAACACAATTTCCAAGACATAAAAATAATTTTCTTCTAGTTATATCCGTAGAAAATTTAAAATGGAAAGTCTTGTTTCCATTACTACTTAATAATATTTGTTTTTGATTCAAGAATTTTTGCATTTTCATTCGGGTAAATGCTGAATTTACTCTAGAATATATATGGTCATAGTCAGATGACGATATCTTGACTTTCATTGATGAGAGGAAACGATAATTTTTTAGATACATGTCAAAATGTGTCATGTTTGGCACAGAAAATACATCAAATCAGATAACTTGTCACTACTGTGAACAGACATATTCTGGTCTTTATTTCATGCATTTAACCTTGCTTGAAAGTGTGAACCAGACAACATTAAATTAATTAATTTGTGAAATAAAATGAAATTTTGAATTTCAACAGTCGCAAATATAGAAAAGAAATAAATAATCTAAAATGTAGCGAGATAGGGAACTGTTTTTCAATTTGAATTTTTCAATTTTCGTCCAATAATTTTTTGTAAGAAAATAATAGTTAATGTTGAGATCAGAGATTGTCGTTTTATTCCCTACCTCTATCCCTTCGTCCAGAGCGAATTATCTCATAATGAAATTATGATAACTAGTAATACTTCATAATATATTTATAAGATAACCAAAAATGCATTATTTTATACTTGTATGACTACTTATGGGAGCTATTATAATTTAATCGCAATGATGTTTCAACGCGTTCCGGTTTATTTCCAAAAATAATTGAAAGATTACCTAATCATGAATGAAAATTTTCCTTTTTACACGAATAAATTAATGATTATTTAAGGTGCAATTGTCATAAATGTTCAACATTAGTATGATGGTTTTTTTTCAATAATTAGGAATAAAAAAATAATTTGACCTTATTAACTTACTTAATATATAACTAATAAATGATACACAACATAAACTAGAATAAATTTGTTTGCATTATTATTTCTTCTTTCAGAACCAATTAAATATCATATTTCCATAGGTGTGTCATTTTTCTCTTAAACAAAGTGCTTTCCTTCTGGGTGGTTCCCTTTAATTGAATTTAATAATAATACTTTTTAATACATATTCATGAACTAGGTATAAAAAGCAACAATTTATTCTTTCAATATGAAAATGTTTACAAAATAGTCGAAAAGATGACAAAATATGCGGCATTTTTAAATGAATGAGTCCCTTGACTGATATTTAAGGACAGTCTTTTGATCAATTTCTTCATCTATTGCTTTATCTTGTATGGATTTAATTAAATATTCATAATTTTCTAGATACCATTCTTTTTTCATAATATAGCGTTCAATTTGATTGCATAATTTGGTGGAATCTCGTAAATATTCATTAACATTGACTGCCTTTTCGAGATATTCTTGTTGCTCCTTAGAAACAAACAAATTGTCATCTAATGAATCAGGCTCTTTACTCCAAAAACTAAAACAAGATTTTTTAAATGTTTTTAAATCATTATCTAGCTTTCAATTACTTACTTTAATAATTTATTCTTGATTCTAACATAATTCTTTGGCCATTCATCAAATTCCAGCTGTAACTTATTCATATATATTTCGATATCCTTTGCATTACACTTTTCTCTTTGTCCAACTGAATCAACACTATTGTATCCAAAGAAACTCGATCTTCGTTTAGCTTTTGGTGGATATTGAATATCTTTTTCCAATTCCTTCTCAATATTTCTACGAGCTTCCATTTAAAACAATTAATGGTTTGTGTTTACTTCCTCAAAAAACGTTAGTAACATAAATTCACCACAAAACAAAGTGGTGAAAAATTCAAATGTTATTTCATCTTTATAATTTGAAAATTTATCTAACGTTTTTATTAGAACTTAAATGAAAGCATGTTGTTCAGATAATGTTCGTAAATATTAATGACACCTTCTAAATTTATTTAAATATGATTGGTAGATGATTAAATGGTTCTAATAATCAATTTTTTATATTCACACCGTTTTCACGTGTGAATCTATTGGTTTTGTTCAGATTGAAAAATCAGTTTTTCGCATTTTGTGAGAAAACAAAGCAAAATTGGTTATAAAAGGGCAAGAAGAAAAGTTTGTGCCTGAAATTTTACATCATTTTCAAAAAACAGATTTCAAATTGGTTGTGGCATTGCTGAGAAAATCGCAAAATACGCTTTCTGTAAGCAAACAAGCAAGCAAGCAAGTTAATCAGCAAGAAATCTCAATAACGAGACATCGTAGAGACTTCTAGTTTTTTACATTTGATCCGTGCTGCTCTATAGAAGAGCTGTATTGTTTTTGGGCAAGGTAGGAACAGCCGTTGCTTTAGAAATGGCAAAAAGCTTTCCTTTCTTACGAATTTTTTAAAACAAAAGTTGACTGTGATTTTTATAAAATTCAACTTTGGATGAAAATTTTTTTTAAAAAACTTTTAAAGAATATTTGGCATATTCGTCAAGCTTTATACCTTCAAACTTATGCTGAGCGTAGCTCAGCTGACTCGATAGCTTTATAACTTCAACTTATGCTGAGCGAAGCTCCACTGCCTCTCTTGCTTCATATCTTCAAACTTATGCTGAGCGTAGCTCAGCTTACGCGATAGCTTTATAACTTCAAACTTATGCTGAGCGAAGCTCAGCTGCCTCCATAGCTTCATATCTTCAAACTTATGCTGAGCGTAGCTCAGCTGACACTCTAGCTTTATATCTTCAAACTTATGCTGAGCGTAGCTCAGTTTACGCGATAGCTTTATAACTTCAAACTTATGCTGAGCGAAGCTCAGCTGCCTCTCTAGCTTCATATCTTCAAACTTATGCTGAGCGTAGCTCAGCTTACGCGATAGCTTTATAACTTCAAACTTATGCTGAGCGAAGCTCAGCTGCCTCTCTAGCTTCATATCTTCAAACTTATGCTGAGCGTAGCTCAGCTTACGCGATAGCTTTATAACTACAAACCTATGCTGAGCGAAGCTTAGTTGACTTATCAAGCTTCATACCTTCATACTTATGATGGGCAAATCTTGGTCTATCCATAAGACTTATGATAGTACGGTGTGAATATAATCCGCATTGGGTTTCTACCCGATACACTAGTTTAAAAAAAAAATTACTATCAAAGCGCCATCTGTCGTTGATTCATTTCCATTTTAATAATCTTATTGAAAAAAATTTACATTTAAGGATCTAAATGACTTATTTTTAAAAATAAAAAAAAAACAATATAGATGGGATTTTTTATCTCTTAACCCATGATAAATGGAACGAATAAAACACTTAATTAAAATGTGGTTTTTGTTCAAAAACATAACTGAAACATTAATGATCAGCCTTACTTTTCTGATGCCGTAAATGTCTGTATAGTAAATAGAAGCAGTTGGAGATGCAAAAGCAGTCTCAGCAGTGGTGGTGAATGATGAAGTAGTTGCACGGTTGAATTTAACACGACGATTGTTTTCTTAAAAAATCGTGAAAATAATGACATTTCTTGATCCTTGATAAACTAATTTAATTGTGAACATAATTAAGGATAATAATCAATACAAAACGTGATAATTGCACATACCAAAAAATATCAAAAATAGAGAAAACAAGTTTGTAATTTTTTGCCTAAAATTGATATTCATTTTTTTTTTCAATCTTTGATGTAAAATGTTTTCCCAGTTGATTTTTATTTTGTTGGAGTGATGGTTAAATGTAGCTTAGAATTTTTAAGTATTTAGATACACCAACGCATTTTTGATGATTTGAATATTGATTGTTATTTGCACATTATAATTTTTTTTTGTGTAATATACACACATCCTAATGTCCAGCGATTTAAAATAAAAACAGAATATTTGTCTTCGCAAAGAAAGTGTAAATACATAAAGATTTCGTTGACCTTCTTTCTCTATACAAAATCGCGCACTCAAGGCAGCCAGCAAGAAAGTCAGCTTTTTTGCCATAAATATTCATTTTTATATTTGCACATTGTATATTGCTTGCTTTTCTTCATCATTGTAATATCTCAAGAATGGATGATACAGCAATCGTAAAGGCAGGCTCGATGATAAAGCGTAGTCAAAATAAGAAACGATGGTCAATGGTGAATTATAAGACAAGATGGTTTGAACTGACACGCACATGTTTAATGTATTTTGACAATTGTGATGGAGGGAAGGAGGTAAGGCTTATCATTTATTTTCATATTGTTTCATCTCATTTGTTGTTAAACATTTCCTACACTTATCGTTTTTTTTTTATTTATTTCTCATCTTAAATTCGGAAGCACTCATTCATATTATGCCTGTTTTTCTTACAATACACAATTATCGGGTATATTTTAAATAGCGCCTTTAATATTTTATCACATTTTAATTTTATTTACTCATCTTCTTTAATATGTTAATTTTATTTGACTTTATCTTCCTTAATTTTTACACCAAACTCATCCTAACATGTGAATAATTTCAACTCATTTTTGAATTTTTCTTTTATCAAAAAAAAAATATTCGTGTTGAATATGCGCAATAAATTATTCCTTGCAGGGACGATGAGCAAACAAATGGTAAAATTTTGTCTAAAGAAAGTTGTATATTAATACAATCCCTGTATTCAGGATCCGCCCTGGCTTATAGAAAAAAAAAAATTTTAATAATATGAAAGTTTAATGTTGAGTGTCTAGGAGTTTTAAAAAAATAAAATTTACCAATTTCCTTGTAGTTCTAGTTCATATTCCCAAGAAATTAGTGTAGCAAAACATTGAAAAATTGTCTAAACAATTCTCAAATCAAAAAAAAAAAAATTACAATTGGAACAAGTGTTTTTTTAAAGTTCTTTGCCGGTGAAGTTTTAATAAAATTATTCCTTAAATTGGAATATGAAAAATATCCTTAATTTAAAAAGTTATTGAGAAATAGTAATTCATTGGATAAATATTGCTAAAGAAGGTAAATAAAAATGTTAAAAAGTTAATATGACTGCATTGCATTGAGAAAAAAAAATCAATATCCAATTCAATTAGAACTTTTTATTCGAGGGTGATATGAATGCATTCTACATTTTGTATGTCGTGGCTTCTTGCAATAATTTTGAGATTGAAATGCAGAATCAGTTTTTCGGGAAAAAATCTTTCTGTTTTATATAACATAACTACACTAGTGTCATGTTTTACTCTGTCATTATAAAAGTCATCATTCTTTTATATAATACGTAACTTCTTTTAATTCTTCTTACTTTTTATGTCTTCTTTAATAAATTCTTTAAAAAAAAGTGGCACAAAAGAGAGAACTTTCAAAACATACTAAACATACGTAATATGATAAATATTAACTTACTCTTTTGTCCTTTTCATGCACTTTGCCTTTTGAATATTAAAAAAGTAATTGTCTAAACAAAAAAACTTTATAAATACATAGTTCATACACTTGGTTTCAATTTTCTTCGGCACATTAATAAGAATAAAGTATATTGTGTCTGTTATAGCTACTTGATCCTATTTAAATAGAAAATATATTAATCATCAAAATTTTTTAAGTTTAATTTTTCATCCCAAAAAAGAATTTGTCTTAAATAAGTATAAATTTTTTCAATGAGTTTGTTCCTTTTCGACATTTTTAAAAATTTTTGGGAACAACTCTATTGTTATTATTATTGATTCAAGTTTTGTGACATGATGAAAATATTATTAGATAAATGAAATATGCTGTAGACACGTTTAAGATCATTTTTCAATATTAAACAGTATTAAGATATTAATTTTTTTTTGCACACTAGTTTGTCACACAAATTTTGCAACACTGCATTTAAGTTTTCACTGTGGTTTTAGAGAACATAGATATTTATTTAGAATTATATTTTCCACAAGTGCTGGTCCTGTTCTAAATGGATCTTACGTTTGATCACCATGTTAAAAAAATAACAATTATTTTACGAAATTTTATTTATTTTTCTTTTAATGCTTCTATTGCAATGTTTTGTCATTAAAAGGTTTTTGAATTTTTGATGTAGTCGAAAAATAGTTTTGTAAAGATTTCCTTATCATTTTCTATGTGTTACCTTTTATTACCAAATTTCCTCTAAAAACAAACAAATGTCGAAGAAAAGATTTATTTTAACTTTGAAATAGCACAATTAGACATATAGAAATATCTTATCTTTTCATATTTGATGTCACATCATGGCTGTTTTCCTTTTTCTTTATTTTATCTTTTTTTTTTTGAATGGAAAATTGTTTCTAGTGAACAGACAATGTTTGTTCTTATTATTTTATTGCACTTATTTAATCACAAAGTTTTTTGGTAAGCAGTAAATTAAATTGCATGCTAGCATTAATATAAATAAAAACACACATCCATTGAATTCATTTTGTGATTGACAATCACATTAATTAGCTATTGAGCTTCACATACATTCGACTAAAACATTCTGTCTGTGAGCGCTGTTTAATGACTTAGCAATGATAATGTATACCTAGAAGTTTACTGTTATCTTTTATGATGTAATATGGAAATTAAAGTGCATAATTTTTTTTCGCTTTTAAGCGCTTATTACTTAAATGAGAAATTTACATTTATGAGTACAGATGTAAATAAAGGTATTTTTTTCCATATAATTTGTAGAAACGACGAGAGCGTGGACGTATTGATGTACGTGGAATCAAATTAGTAGAACCAGCAATTTTGCATGGTGAAGGTGGTGATATTCACGCACCAAATGTAAGTTCATCATTATGACTATTTAGCTATCCATTGAAAGATTATTTACACCAATGAACGTTATTTCATTCAGGGTTACCCTTTTCAAATTGGATACTCGGAAGTAAATTGTATCACTGGAAATAGTACACTGCCTACATTTACGCTTTATCTCGTTGCGGCCACAGATAAAGAAAGAGGTGAATGGATTCGAGCTATTAGAAAAGGTGATATAATTTAATCATTCTCCCTCAATAATGATTTAACATTAAATGTCATTTAATGTAATTACAGCTAGTGAAGATTTTTCACCAAAGTCATTTCGTTATCATCCTGGATTATATAAAATTAACAGATGGTCATGTTGTAAAAATTCCAGTAGAACTGCCCTCGGATGTTTAGTTACCACTAATTGGCCAGAAAAGAACAATAATTACAAAAGTAAGTATCTATGCATTCTGATGGAAGTTATTAAATGAACATTAAAAGAGTATTAAGAAAATTCTGGTCATTCCATTTTTTTTTTCGCTTATCGCTCCGCAAATTACTAATGTGGATCTTATGTGATTCAATAGTAAAGGATTCAAGTAATAATTTTATTGCATTATTAATCTACAAAAATAATTTTTGCATGATCAGTAAAAAGGCAATTGGAATTTAAATAAAATGATTTAGAGTTGATAAAATTCCAGTAAATTAGATAAAGTAAACTAATTGTCAATTATTTAAAAATGCAATAAGCTTCACCGTTTTTCATTTCAAAACACGTTTGCACATGATGTTTTAAGCTCGATCTTCTATTCCTTTCGTACATTGAAAATTACATCAAAGGAGTTCTTATTTTATTATGTACTAATATTTATCACACACACTTTTATATATAAACACAAAAATGATTATGCTTAATGTTGTTTTTGAAGCATTTGTGTGTATCATAAATAAACAAAAAAAGGAGAAGAAGAAGAAAAGAAAGAAATAGAAGACATGTATACAAGTGCATGCAACGATCACGAGAAACAATAACTTACGATTGAATGTAAATTATATAATTATAAAATCATTCATTGTTCTTGTAATCAATTCAATAAAATTCTTAAACATCTGCTTAAATTTCAATGTGCAAAGTGCTACATTTGAGTATTCACATTTATCTAAAATTATTGCTTTTTTTTTCTCCAATACAATAACGTAAGACAAAAAAGCAGGTTTTAATGTCTTTACCATCATAATACATTGAGGTTGTATAAGTAATTCTTTAATTTTTCTTTCACACTGTTTTTCGGGTTAAGTGTTCAGTGCATAGATACTTTTTTCTTTAAAAAACTTTTCTTGTGTGTCTTTACACAACGTCTTGCTTTATTTACTTTGAATGGTTTAGTTACTCAATTGAACCCCTTACGATCAAGACGTGAATTTAATACGTGTGTCTGAAAAAATTACAAAATTCTTCTTGTTAAAATTAAAAAATAAAAATAAAATAGCTAAACGTAAAAAGAAATATGAATACAAAAGTTTTAAAATAGTTTGCGGAATCTTAAGAGAAAATTAATGCAATAAACGAATAATTATGATATATATAAAAAAAAATTGATGCAAGGTTTTAGACAGAAAACTTTAAAAGTTTTTTATAGAGACAAAATGTGTTCTTTCTATTTACAGTGAAGGCAATGTATGTATAAAAACATATAAGCCAGCATATGAACGTATAAACTGTCCTACTTTATTTCACTTTCGAAACGCGCAAAGATCATTACAGGTTTTAATTTAAAATTCAATACTTGCATAAATACATGTAAACCAATAAAAAAATGTATCAATTGCATCAGAAATTGTATGTTGCATCTTTTAAATATTATTCAAAACTTCAAATTCAAGTTTAATAACATTAATTATCAAAAAGTGCACGAAATAATTTTTTCATATCAATAGATACAAGATTTTTCAATTATAATTCTCCAACTAGTTGAAAAATCAGAACAAAAACATTATCGTATTTTATTATTACTTTAATAAATTTGAAAGACATGACGAAAAGTTTTTTTTTGATAAGTTAATTATTCGCACTAAAATTTGATGAATACTCGTGTGGTGTTCAATGATTATATTATTAAACATTGTCAACACAGATACATCTGATTCATGTAAATACATTACATGTAATAGAAGTATGAGTAACCAAATATCACAGAACAAGATCAAGAGAAGAAAAAGAAAAGAAAACAAAAAAAAATAGGAAATTGTCTAAGTTTTTTTAAAACAAATTTTTAAATTTGAGGATAAATTCATAATTTTTACCTTAAACATATAAATATATTGATTTTAAAAGGTTTTTGTATATCAGAATTGTTAGATTTTAAATTATTTTTGTTATATCTGAAAGTTAACGGTTCTTTAACATCGTAGATTTTGCATTTGACTTGTTTGTTGTTGTTGTTGTTGTTGTTGTCTGGTTTAATACTTTGATATTCTTTGAAATCAGAAGAGATCAGGTTTATCTTGTTTGTATTTTAATATATTTATAATGATTCTGCCTTTACATTCAGTGTGCTCTAAAATCACAAGTATATCATAAATATTAAACAGTTTAGTGCATTGATATTTTCAAATTATCATAATATAAATTTCTAATAAGTTTCATATCTTAAAAAAATTATAGAATGCTCTTTGAGTACCAATCAATCAAAAGAATGATTAGAAAATGATAAAATAACATAAGTGATGATAATTTATGTAGTGAAAACTTGCAGTTTTTAAAAAATTGTGTTTAAGTTGTCATAAATTTACCAATGATTCCGTGCGTGAGCTTAACAGAAACAAGTGTTCTGGTAAATATGAAAGAGCGCGTAAAAGAAATGCGAGTTTTTGGATGTCGGCTTAATTTTTGGAATAACGTTACCAACAGCATTTCAAATAAAGGTAATGTTATATCGATATGTCATTGCTTGTCATTTCCTATGGGCATTAATTAAATGAATTATGTATGCAAATTGGGACCCGTATCGAGAAAATGCAATAACCTGTCATTCTAAACGATCTAACGTAACTAATTTAAATTAATTTATACTTTCATAATTTTCTTTTTAATTTATAACTGTCTGATTCTTTCGTTATGAAGTTTTAAAATTACTTCGCTGTAATTAAGTTCAATGAAACCAAATTTTAGCCACTTTTTTGTCATCTTAAAGTATAGTGAATTTTAATTAAAATTGAAAATTGCATTTGTTTGTGTCCAAAAGTTGCACATATTCAAACTAATCTTCCTTATGCTTGTGCAAATTAATACTGTTAAATCTGATTTTAGTAATTTTAACGATAACTTCATGCATGAAGTATGTTCCATTATTAAATAATTTGTTTTATTTTAATGCTTACGTTATCAGCTTAAAGATGCCTTAAATGTAAAACGCATTTGCATCGTTCAAAAAAGAAACATCAAGAAACGTTAGTTTTTACCTTTCTTAGTAAATCAACAAAAAACAAAAAAAAATATTCACAAAAATTGAAAATTTTGTGTGAATATGAATCCACAATTTTTCAATGAACATTGAAATAATCATTGAAAGTTACTTTTTGGTGCATATTAATACAATACTTCTAAAGTAGACGACCTAGTATGTTACTTTTCATCAAAAGATTGATTTACTTTCGGTTATGCATAATAATATCGCTACATAGTATATCCACTTAAAAAACTTCAACACATATGAATGTAAAAATTGCTCGTGATAAATTATATATAAGTGTATTTGCAGTCGCGATCAAAGTAATTGTGGAGATCTTTGACTTGTCTATGACTTGTCTGCTTGTTATTTAAGCATTTCATAAAATTGGAATGCCTTTAAAATCTACTATGCTAATATTTATATCATCTCTCTTTACCTTCAAACATAATGCATTCATCTTTGCAGTTGTATTTTTTTTCTATATTGTCATAAAAACTGGGAACAATTTTCAACATCAGATGTTGCAACATATGTACAAAAAAGCCTAGTTACATTACTTGAAATACTTGAAGTAAATATGAATTGTAAAAAATTATGTATTAAAAATCATTTGCTTCAAATAATTTGAAATCATCCATAAATTAATGAAAAGCCAAATAATCTAAAGATAAAATTTGCTTTCTTTGTTTTCATTTGTTCTTCTTTTATCTATAATATCTATAATATAGTAACCAATAATATACTAATACCGATAAAACTACTTTACGAAAATGAAATGAAACGTTTTATTAAGTTACAAATAGAAGTTTTAATTTATGTTTGAAAATTATCAATGAGGTAATAATACTATATAAATATTTTAATATAATTGATGCTAAGCAGGTGCATATTTATTTCAATAAATACAATGATATCGCCTTTTTCTATTCTTTAAGTTTTAATATTAAATTTCAAAACTGGTAACTGGAGCGAAGCGAAAAAGAAAATATTGTGTGAAATATATTAATCTTATTGACACTTAAAAATTGAGGATTTTAGTGTCAACTTTTATTTTGAATCAATATGAAATTGTACTTTTAAAATTTAAACTTTAAAACCATGCTTGCTCATCTGTGATATCCGAACAAGTTATTTCGCTCTAATTATGGATTTTCTATTTTAATGCTTTTTCGCGAAAAAAGATACTTTCTTTTTTTTCTCTTGTTTTCTTTGCTTTTTTTTTTGACTATTAAAGTAAAATGTAAGACGAACAGAAGAAGATGGAAGTTATTATCGTGAATTAGTAAATTTAATTTTGTTATTTTTCAATTGTTAAGAAATGTTCTAAACAAGTTTATTATTTCTCAATCATGTAATCAAGATTTGTTCCTGATGCTGACCGGTTTGTGCTGGTTATTTATTTTAATTTAATGGAGGATTTGGATTTGGATTGGATTCTTAATAACAAGAGTAAATTATGCCAAAAACCACAAATTATTGCAGCAAAAGTAGTGTACAATAATTTTTAATAAAAATCATGTTTCACCAAAGTTTGGCAATTAAAATATTATTAAACGAATGTCAAAAAAATATTTTCTTTAATCATAAATGTTGCATACGATTAAGAATCTAATTTATAACTATAAAACGTATTAAGTGATTTTTTGCTTCTCCCACTGTAAAGCAAAATAACATAATTCTTTAAATGTGGGAAAATGAAATGTTGCACTTCAAAAATTTCCACTTGAAATTACAGTCGAACAAAAATATTTGATGAGTTATGGCCATGGTTATAAGTCAGAAAATGCATTGTTTTATTATTCTGAAAACAGCAATTGTGAAATAACAATAGAATACACACCCTAAAATTCGTCATTAGATGCATTTTAATGATCTAGACTTCATTAAATATGGAGCATTCTAAGTAATAAATTTATTTTAATTTTTATTAACTCAAACTTAATATTCAATGATAAAATCACCAAATATTTCCTTTTCACACTTCTTTCTTTATTGATGATTAATAGTTATGATAATTGAAAAAGAAAACAATCTATGACTCTTAGCTTGAGAGATTATACAAAATAAATAATAAAATAAAATTTCCTGTCAAATCTTACATTAAATTCTCGCCAATATTATAATTTAGCTTCCATGCGTTTATTATATACAGAATATTTCAATGAAAATGATTAGACAGTTTTTAAAATAATTTACTACCGTCACGGTAAATGAAGAAATTAAATATATAAAAAAATAACTTTTGTATTTCTTATAAGAATGATTATACTCCAAATACTAAATGTTTCTTTTTAATTTGGGAACTATTCTGCTTATGAAATATAAATAGTAATTAAGAGTTTTATTTCTTATTAGAATTTTAACGTTGTCTTTCTTCAGTCGTCTGTAATTATCCTCATGTCTGGGAGTATCCAAGTAGAAAATTTCACATCTTATCAAATTAGTTAAAATTCTATCTTAATTTGAAAATAACTTAAAAAATTATTTCCCATAAAAAGTATTCTTTTTTTGACCTTCCATAGTTTTTATTTCATAATTAATACCAATACATAGTTTGAATATGTATAAGTCAAAATTTGCAATATTTTTCTTAAGAATGTGTCCAGATTCAAAAACTTTACTTATTCTCTGGTTTTGGACAATTTTTGTCTGTTCGTTTAAAAAACATTCAAAAATTGTCATTTCCGGTTATGTTCACAAATTTTTAAGAAAATGACAGTCAACAAACAACGAAAGAATGAGGAGAAAAAGAAACATCGGCAGTAAAGTTTAAGAAAATAACAACAATAATAAAAGCAACGCAGTGAATTTACTTGAGAAAGGAATTTAAAACATTTTGTTTTACTTCCAATCATTCTTACATGATTCATTCGAAATTTCACTCCTCACTACTTGTTCGAAACATTTAAAAATGCATATTATATCTTAAACATATAGCTCATATATTTTGGCATTTTTCGCTTCACTTTTGTGTGATGAAACCATGTATTGGTGAACAATTTTTGAATTCTTTTGTGAATCCTTCTGAGAATTATCAGAAATTATTAAGAAATCTTTATGCATTTTTCATTATAGGTAACGGAAGTAATTCACCCGTACAGAATTCAACACGCAGCATTAGCCCAAATATTACAACTATCAATAATAATAACGGACAAATTCAGGCCGTTTCTCCTCAGACACAATTACAAGCAACTCCACAACAGCATCAAACTCATCATTTATTAAATAACTCTGTTAATTTAGGAAATATAACGCCTACTTTCAACTCACAGCAACAAGTAAAAAAAACAATAGCTTATAAATGATCTTAAATGACTAAAGTATTCTGAAAACTTATCTTAACTTTTACGTAGACTTCATTGACAAATTTTAAATCATCTCCTCTTAACGGAAGTAGTAGTAGTCAACATATTAGTGATATTACCAATATGCCGATGCCTGGAGGAGGACAAGTTGTAGTAACGCCAGGAACACCAAACTCTAAATCCAAGGTAAATACAAAATTACATTGTGAAGTTTTTTAAAAGCAAATAAAATTGTTTCTTTTCTTAAGGATGGAGCAAGTCGTCTTAAGATTGTCGTTGCCCTTTATCCATTTAAGGCCATTGAAACAGGAGATTTATCTTTAGAAAAGGTATGATAACTTTTTGTTACGGTCGAGGTACTTAAAATAATTCTTAAAATTAAAGAATGCCGAATATGAAGTCATAGATGATTCACAAGAACATTGGTGGAAGGTGAAAGATGCAACAGGCAATATTGGTTACATTCCGTCGAATTATGTTAAGGAGAAAGAGTTACTTGGACTGCAAAAATATGAGTAATTTACATAGAATACGTGTAAAATGTAATAGTCACGAGATTTTTTATGTTTTAGTTGGTACGTTGGGGATATGTCCCGTCAAAGAGCTGAATCTCTTCTGAAACAAAATGACAAAGAAGGATGTTTTGTCGTTAGAAAATCATCAACAAAGGGTCTCTATACATTATCGTTACATACCAAAGTTCCACAGTCACATGTCAAGCATTATCATATTAAACAAAATGCTCGTGCTGAATTCTATTTAAGTGAAAAACATTGCTGTGAAACTATTCCTGATTTAATCAATTACCATCGTCACAATTCCGGAGGTTTAGCTTGTCGGCTAAAAGTTTCTCCATGTGATCGTCCTGTTCCTCCAACGGCTGGATTATCTCATGGTAAGGCTATTCATTTAAAATACCATTAAATCCAATTTTTTTATGATTCATAATGCTTATTCAAATTTAAGATAAATGGGAAATTCATCCTTCTGAACTAATGATATTGGAAGAACTTGGTTCGGGACAATTTGGTGTTGTGCGTCGTGCCAAATGGCGTGGTTGTATTGATACCGCCGTCAAAATGATGAAAGTAGGAACAATGTCAGAAGATGATTTTATAGAAGAAGCTAAAGTTATGACTAAATTACAACACCCGAATCTTGTACAGCTATACGGTGTTTGTAGCAAACATCGTCCAATTTATATAGTAACAGAATATATGAAACATGGCTCTTTACTAAACTACCTACGTCGTCATGAGCAATCATTGATTGGAAATATGGGTTTATTACTAGATATGTGCATACAAGTAAGATGATTTGAAATAAATATTAGACGAAAATCGAAATAAACTATTGAAACTTGTATGCTTAAAATAGGTTTGCAAAGGAATGGCTTATTTAGAGCGTCATAATTATATTCACCGGGATTTAGCAGCAAGAAATTGTCTAGTTGGAAGTGAAAATACAGTCAAAGTTGCTGTAAGTTACTTTCTTTACGCTAGATTAAGAAGTGTCTTAACTTTACATTCTTTTACAGGATTTTGGATTAGCTCGTTATGTTCTTGATGATCAGTATACTAGTTCTGGTGGCACAAAGTATATAACTCTAATTCAAATTATTTCTTCTGGTAATCATATCAAAATTTTTCTGTATTTTAGATTTCCAATCAAATGGGCACCACCTGAAGTACTTAACTACACAAGATTTTCGAGCAAGTCTGATGTCTGGGGATATGGTAATGATTTGTTAAATTTTTTAAAGGGCTGGATTTAAATTTAATATCTATTATTCAGGTGTATTGATGTGGGAAGTGTTTACATGTGGAAAAATGCCTTATGGGCGATTGAAGAATACAGAGGTTGTTGAAAGAGTTCAACGTGGAATAATTTTAGAAAAACCTAAGGCATGTGCAAAAGAAATTTACGATGTAAGTAATCTGTATAAGATTTAAAATTAAAATTGTAATCTACCTTTTTCTATTTCCTGTAGGTTATGAGAAAATGTTGGCTTCATAATCCTGAAGATCGACCCGGCTTTCGAATATTGAAAGATCAGCTAGCGACTGTAGCACAGGGATTGACAGATTAAACTAATATTTTCGTCGCTTACATATTATAAGTATGAACTTTCGTATTTAAACATATCTTCAAATAAATTACGCTGAGTTTATAAATTTTATTTTATTTTTTCATAAATGGTTCTTGCTCTATATTCTCTTTTCTTATAAGTTTCAAATCAATTATTTAAAAAAATCTATCCAAAACTGTCAAAATATAAAATTAATGGAGACGACTAATTTACTGCATACAATAGAATATTATATAAAATATAATTACAAAGATTTATCTGAGGTGAAAATACTCAATTATTTTTTACTTTTTGTATCTAAAATAATTTTGATTATAATAGTTCTAACAGTAAAAATTAAAAGAGAATTTTCTCCTCATATTTACAATTTATCAAACTATTGATCATGAAAGTTCCAAGATGTAGATGAAAAATATTAAAGATTTATTCATACATTTTTAGCTCATTCCTATAAGTCCTAAAACAATTTAAAGTAAATTTCTGGATAAATTTAAACAGCAATTATTCTGTCATTATGAATCTACATGGAATCCTTGACTGGAATAGGTATTTGGCTCTACAAAAATTTTATTCAAATCAAGGACTTCAAGTTTACAATACATTAACCTTTTATACTAAAAGAGTTTTGATTAAAAATTCGGATTGTGCGTAATTAATTAAGAAAGAACTGAATTCATCCTGTTAGTTATTATTGCATATTTGTGAAGTGAAAAGAGATATTAATGTAGGATTTGAAAATACAAAATACTTTGCCATTAAAAAAATATGAAAAAAGTAATGAATAAAGAATTGCTAATGTGAAGCACTTTGTTTGCTATATTTTTTTGATACATATATGGTTGTTACCAATTCGTGATTTAAACATTAAAAAAAATTTTTGAGGGTAACTTGAATAATTCAATTTATTTTCATTAAAAAATAAGTTCCTCGAATTTTTTTCTTATTTTTAAGGTCTTGCGTTAATTAGATAATATGATAGCAAACCTGCTGTTTAGTTGCATTGTAAAAGGAATATTACAACCATGAACATGGTATTTCGCAAAGAATCACATAGTATGAATATGTTTGATAGTATGAATTGTCATAATTCTATATATTTTGAAGAAAATAATGCGCACATACAAACAAAGTGTTTTGCATAGTATTTTTACATATGCGTATCGTATAAACAGAACGATGCTCTTGAAAATATAATACACAAAACAATGATAATTGAATAATAATAAAAGAAATCTCAATTACTTATAGATTCAATAACTTAAAAGCGAAAGGATCTAATTTAATGAAAATGGACTTTTAATATGATTTAAGATTTTATCTTAAGCTTTAAAGTCTATATCTTCCTAAGCATCGTAACTCGAAATGCATTTTTAATATAACAATAATGTAACGTGATATTTTAGTTTACTCAAAACAAAAACAGTAAGAAAAGCAGAATGGTAAATGATATGAGGAAGAAAATGCTAACCAATTAGCAACATAAAAAATAGAATAATGAGAGTAAAGCGGGCGGTATGATTTAAGAAATGAGTGTGATTTAATGAACATAAAATTATTATAATGAAATTTACTTTTAAATAAATGATGTCATGAAATCTTTAGTTCATGAAAAATTATAAATGTTCCACATTTTTTTTACCTTCATACTAAATCTATGTAACAAGATTAAACAAACAATACAGCTTTTTTTATAAAGAAAATAAAATGTGAAACACAAATTAAATAAAAAATGATAAATGACGAAATAAAGTCATTTTCAAACTCAAATAAAATTTAATGCAATTTTTAAGATGTCATCATTACTTTTCCATATGAAGACAAAATCCAAGATAAACATTTTATGAAACTTTTGTTGAAAATAAATTCAATTGATTTTTTATATCAATAAACCTATAACTGTAAACATAATCTTTGAGTTTTTAAATGAGTTTCCTTTCAGTGAAATAATGTACATTTTTTTCAAGCACAACTTTACTGCAAGCGCTTGAAAATAATTAAATCAATTTGCTCAGGATATAAATTCTTGTGTAAATTCTTATGCGAGACTTAATCGTTCCGAATAAAAAATTGGAGGTTTATATTTTTTAAAAAAATATCCAGAAATTTTAAATAAGTATTAAATGCTTACGATGGTTTCTTCCTCTACAGTGTTTATAATCCCACGCGTTCCTTGTTACGAATAATAAAGCTTTTTTAAAGTTCACTGACAATGAATCTTATATGAACGATTACACGGATGGATCAAATTTTCAAAAATTCAATTTTACCAAAAATCCTATTTTCGCTTATCAAACAATATGAAATATATAAAATAAATGTGTATAGTAGGCGCTTTAATTAATGTGAAAAATTGGAATTTAAAACTTTATATTTTCTCATAGATTAGGTAAAAACGAAAGCTCCTTGGACATAAAGAAAGATCTAATTGATCTACGCAAGTAAGTGTAAAAACTTGAGCTTGAAACTCATTAATTAAAGAGTTGGTTTAAAGTCGTATTTTATCAACAAAAAAAAAAAACACCACAAAATTGCTCATATTTAATTTTTCTATATGCTTTGTTAAAGAGACGATTACAGGAAAAAATGCGCTACAGTTTGAAACATTTACCATATTTAAAGGTTCAACTTGCTATCGTTTATCACGCAATGCTCATTTTTAATTCGTACTTTAATGTCTTTTACTTTTTCTGAGCAGGCTGCATAAGGAAATATTTACTTCCCTTATGAAGAAAACGAGTATTTTTCTCTTTTCTCCGATTCATATGATTTCATTCATAAAATTTAAAGCTTTTTTAAAATCGCAATGAAAAGCTTTCGTAGAGAAACTTCGAGAGCTTGAAGAGAGAAAAAAAATCAAAAAGACAACTAGAAATAGCTTCATTCATAAACGAAACTTCGATCGAACAAGTATCAATATTTATTTATTCGCGGATATTTTAAAATATCATTGTTGAAAGTGATCTAATTCATTTTTATTCGTTCTAATTATTTCTATCATTTGTTTCGGTAAGAGTTTTAGTGAAATCAAATTGGATAGTGGTTTACTTCTGCAGGCTCATTTAGGATATTTAAAAATTTAAAAAATATATAATTTAATAAACAGCACATAAGGTTAAATAACTTTTTTTAAAGTTTTTTGAATAAACAGATTTAAATTGACTCCTAATATACTTGGTTGAATATTCAAGTATTTTGACATAAAATTAGAGCAAAAAACAAAAATGAGTTCAATACCAAAAATAGTCTGCTATTCAAGAGAATTAATAAATATCCTGTGTTTGTTGATCTTTGTGCTTACTCCAAATAAGGAATAGAAAATAAACGACAACTTCTATGTTTACTTCAGTGCTCTTGGATATGTAATATGTAAAAAAGTAATGGTATAAATTTCGTAGGTGTACATATGCAATGTCAATAATATAAAATGTTCAAACTAAAACTGTACTTAGGGAGAGAATTTCAAATGGAAATATATTTAGCGGAGTAAGCCATATAAGTCGAAAATACATCATCATTATATAAAGAAATAACATTGAATTTTCGAAAACAAATTTAAAGAAAAAGACTCATTGTTAATCTAGAAGATTTATTCTTCTCCTTATATGGTAACAAAACTTTTTACTTAACAGTCAAAATAAAAAGCAACTTTTAATTTTCAAACATTTGCTACTATTTAAATACATATAATCATTTAAATACATACAAGTTTTCAATCTAATTACAACATTTTTTCATATTTTTAAGTAATATAAAATTTTATATGAAAATTTATTGAATTAAATAATAACTTTACTACTAAGTGACCTCAATTTTTGGAAAAGTAAAATTAGAATGTTTTTTTTTTATTTCAAAACCAACTATAAAATAATTAAAAAAGATTTTTTTCCTCAAGAACCAACGTGAAGCAATGAATTCTCTTCACAACAGACGCCAATCATGATCCGTTAATGCAATTAAATGCTCTGTTGTATTATGGTTAGATCTAATTCCGTTCTGTCTAGGATATATGCAAAAATTTTTTTTAATTTTCTTTGACTTTTTCGAGTTCTCCTTCGTTTATCTGTTCCTTAACTCTGTATGTTCCTTTTGAACTGTTTTTGTTGTCTGATTCCTACGCGTAAATAATTAAATTTGGATAATTGACAATTCCATAACCCCGTTTTTCGTAGGTTGGGAGTAAACTTCCTATTATAATTTCCATGCAATTTTGTGTATAAAGTCTTTATTCACAATCAGAAATTAAAATTAAAGAAACAATGGTTGGTAAAAAAATAAGTTTCGCGCTCAATATCTAAAGCATCCATTATTATACCTGGAATAGCTTTAAAATGTTTTCTAACGACAAAAAAAACATGATTCAAAAAACATATATATATATATATAATGTGTGAAGGGCCCAGTCTTTCAGCTGGAGGCACTGCGATTCAAATTAGAACAGAATCTATTGTACCACACCCTTTAGACCTACAGTTTATAGTGGGATCCGAACCACTTGCAAGCTCTGTACATTGCAAAGACACGAGTACGTCATAAGACCTGATGTACCCTGCAATGTACCTAGTCACAATCCGTGTGCGCAAGATGCCGTAAGGAAGTCATCCAGATGCTAGTATATCCTTGTATACCTAGCAAAGGAGGCATATTCTATGCCAAAGACATCAATACTACACCCAACACACGAACCGAGCTTCGTAACTAGAACGGTGAAATGGAAAAAGAGCTTCGAAAATTAGACATGGCCTGGGATTGAACCCAGGACCTTTGGCACGTTAGGCCAACGCTCTACCATTTAGGTCACTGATGCCATTTCACCGCTTTCAAAAAACATAGTCAATGAAGAAAAAGATCAAGTTTTAAACAAAAATTTCTGATATTTTCGTTCAATATTAGGGAAAAACGGTCAAAAAATAAAAGGAGCATCACAAACGCGCTTAACATTTAATAGCAATATAGTAAACTTTATTGGCTTTCTTAGAAAAATCAACTTTGTAACTTTTTTAAAGTAAATGTTCACATGCATGATGATTCATGAAAAGTGAACTCAGATTTTATGAAGATAAAGCTAATGGGTGTTATTGAGTAGGAAGAAAGTTGAATTTCCTATTTTGGCTCTAACCGTCTGGTTTTAATTTAAATTTCAATAGGAATATTTTTATTGTCAAAATGAAAGACAGTCTAAAATAATAATAAAAAACGATTTGCAATAGAAAATTATTTAGACTAATAGTATTTGCACATTCATGACTTCAATTCAAACTAGTACTGTCTATTAAAAACTAAATTTAAGGTTAACACAAACGTTTGTGTAAATATTATTGAAAATTTAACATTATTATTGGATTGAACTGTGCAATTGCATAAAATAACCTTGTACCTCCTTTTTAGGCGGTGCTGTGCCAAATATAAATAAAAATCGATTCATTTTTCTACGAATGACAAGAAATTCAACGAAATTAAATAGGACAGGTCGTAAATTTTGTTTTCAAAGAATATATGCTTTATGTGTCCCGTGAAATTCATTGTTGAAAACTAAACAAAAAAATCCATCATTGATAACATAAAAAGTTTTTTTTTCTGTTTTTGATGTTCACAGAAAATATTCCTGATAATAGTTTTGTTGTTTGTCTTCATTGTATCGTACCAGGTAGCGACTGTCATTGAAAACTCTTCCCATTCAGAAGAAATCAGTCTATGTTTTTGGAACAATTTTTTTTTTCACCTTTTGTTTCATTATACATCTTGTAGACATTGTTTTTGTAATTTTATTTAAAAAATATTTTTTAAGCTATATTTTTAAATAATCCTGTTAAAAATCATTTTCGATACATATTTATTTTACAAATTCTTAAAATTTTATCCTTTATAATAATTATGTATTTACGGTACTTACAATTTTATTGGTGCGAAATTCCACGAAATTTAATCAAACTATCTAAACCGAGCAATCAATTTCAAGTTCCTACAAAGAACTAATTCAATCAATTTGCCAAATTATCGAATGAGAGTTTAATACCACAAAGACATTTAATTAGTCTATAATAGTTGCAAACATTTTTATGTCATTGGGATAGTTAATAAAAAAATAAGGAAATGCTTTCTTCATGTAAAAGTTTATGAACTCATAAAAAACAGAAGTAACAAGGTTGCTCATGAAAAAGAAATATTTTCTAGTCACGCAACAAAAACTATCCGTTTTCAATTTCCAAAAAAATAAATATGATTGTTTTTGTTCTTGCAGATAATATTTAATTCATAATTTAATATGGGCGGTTTTGAACAGAGACAATGGACACCAACGAAAAAAAGAGGGCTAATAGCAGCCGAGATGCATAAGTATTTATTCATTCATTTAAAACAGTGTTGTCCAAACTTTTTGAGCCACGGCACACCTAATGGTTAAGTCATGACAAAAGTCGCACACAGTTTGCGTCATTTCGAAAAAAAATCTATGGTCCACCCGTGTTTGGACAACACTGATTTAAAACATAATATAATTATTCAATCTCATTCTCATTAGAATTCAAAAATAAATGGAAAATATATCTAGATTTTTTTTATGCTCGCTATTTGGTTTTTTCCCACTAAATCGTCTTATATGTCTATTATTATTATTTTTCGGAAAGGGAACATTATTATTAACTTAAAAATTACTGTGCAACCTAATGAGGGTGTGGTTAATTACAAAACTATTTTTAATCAAATTCCTCAACGTTGATAAATACTTTACCTTAAATATGATTTTATATTCAGTCCTGGACCAGCATGCGTTCAACTTCCGCAACTGTTAGGTAATATTTAATTTTATGCTTAAAATAAACTTGTTTATTTAAAACGTGTAGGAGTCCAAAATATGATATTCAATTTTTATGATTCAACGTCATAAATGACAAATTGTATAATTATAGCTAATATAAGTAAGAACGAATAGTAACAAGTTAATTGAAAACAATCGGTTTTTCTCTCAATTTCAGGAACGAAAATATTAGATAGCAAAAAATCTGCTGCGCCAGCGTTTAGCTTTGGCTCGAGGCATCAAAACAATACTCGAACTATTGGTCCTGGTCCAAGTGCATATAACATTGTGGGCTTAGCTGCTAAAGGAAAAGATACACCACCTCAAATTTCCTTACAGTCAAGAGCAAAATCGACTAAAATAATAGAAACACCAGGTATTATTATTTTACATAATCACAAAAATTCGTTTTCAAAATTTTTACGCTTTAGGTGCTGGAGACTACCATATTGAAAAAAGCGACAAATATATTGTTTCTTCAGCTCCAAAATATACATTTGGTGTAAAAAAATATTCAGGATTATCAAATAGTGGTGAAACACCAGGTAATGTTAAAAAATCCTTCAAATAGTTAAACATCAGATATAAATTTTAATAAATTTTTAAGTGAAGTTATGGAAATGAAAAAACAATTTTATATGCAAGGAAATGCATGTCTATTTTTATGAGAACTTGACTAAGGTACTTTTTCAAAAGCCTTTTTTTATATGTAGTGTATGGTTTTAAAGACAATTTTTTCCTACTCACTTGTTAAAAGCGCTCAAATTATTGAAATCCTAATTGCGATTAATTTAATATTTTCAATCATGTTTTAAAATGATTTTTGTCATATTTTTACGATGTTCGTTACTGGATATCCAGTAAAAGTTTATAGAAATGATTTATAAATAGAAAAAAATTTTAAATCAAATGATTCGAATAATTACGAGATTAATTACAAAAAGTATAATGTAAGTAAAGCTAAAGAAAATTTAAACGCTTTTTAAAGTTCACAATTCAACAGACTTTTTTGTGCACAGTAGACTTTGATACAAGAGTACATAATTGCAACATTGTAGTTGAGATTTCAAATAACATTTTACTTGCTTAGTAGAAAAAAAAAACTATCATGAGTTCTTATTTTAGCACCAAATTTTTACGACACTGACAAATCTAAGCTTGATAACACCCCATCTTACACTTTTGGGGTTAAAACAAATGTCAAACAAGAATACGTCACACCAGGTCCAAATGTTTACGATGTTGATAAGCATGATAATACGCCATCTTACTCTTTTGGAGTGAAGACAAACATCAAACAAGAAAGCATTACACCAGGACCTAATGCCTATGACGTTGACAAATCAAAATTAGACAATACACCATCTTACACTTTTGGAGTAAAGCCAAATATTCAAAAAGACAATGGAGTTCCTGGTGTAGGAACTTACGATTCGGAAAAGTTCAGCCTTGATCACACACCAGCTTACACTTTTGGAGTTAAAACAAATATCAAACAAGGATTCGTTACACCAGGTCCAAATGTTTATGATGTTGATAAGCATGATAATACGCCATCTTACACCTTTGGAGTAAAGACAAATATTCAAAAAGACAATGGAGTTCCTGGTGTAGGAACTTACGATTCGGAAAAGTTCAGCCTTGATAACACCCCATCTTACACTTTTGGAGTTAAAACAAATATCAAACAAGGATTCGTTACACCAGGTCCAAATGTCTATGATGTTGATAAGCATGATAATACGCCATCTTACACCTTTGGAGTGAAGACAAACATCAAACAAGAAAGCATTACACCAGGACCTAATGCCTATGACGTTGACAAATCAAAATTAGACAATACACCATCTTACACTTTTGGAGTAAAGCCAAATATTCAAAAAGACAATGGAGTTCCTGGTGTAGGAACTTACGATTCGGAAAAGTTCAGCCTTGATCACACACCAGCTTACACTTTTGGAGTTAAAACAAATATCAAACAAGGATTCGTTACACCAGGTCCAAATGTTTATGATGTTGATAAGCATGATAATACGCCATCTTACACCTTTGGAGTGAAGACAAACATCAAACAAGAAAGCATTACACCAGGACCTAATGCCTATGATGTTGACAAATCAAAATTAGACAATACACCATCTTACACTTTTGGAGTAAAGCCAAATATTCAAAAAGACAATGGAGTTCCTGGTGTAGGAACTTACGATTCGGAAAAGTTCAGCCTTGATCACACACCAGCTTACACTTTTGGAGTTAAAACAAATATCAAACAAGGATTCGTTACACCAGGTCCAAATGTTTATGATGTTGATAAGCATGATAATACGCCATCTTACACCTTTGGAGTAAAGACAAATATTCAAAAAGACAATGGAGTTCCTGGTGTAGGAACCTACGATTCGGAAAAGTTCAGCCTTGATCACACACCAGCTTACACTTTTGGAGTCAAAACAAATATCAAACAAGAATACGTAACACCAGGTCCCAATGTTTATGATGTTGATAAGCATGATAATACGCCATCTTACTCTTTTGGAGTTAAGACAAATATTCAAAAAGACAATGGAACACCTGGTGTAGGTACTTATAACACAGAAAATGTGAGCTTTGATCATACTCCAGCCTTTTCGTTTGGAATAAAACCTAATCCCCTAAAAATGCCAATTCTTCCAGGTATTTAAACTTATTTAATTTTTATATTCACACCGTTTTCATGTGTGAATCTATTGGTTTTGTTCAGATTGAAAAATCAGTTTTTCGCATTTTGTGAGAAAACAAAGCAAAATTGGTTTTAAAAGGTCACAGAAGAAAAGTTTGTGCCTGAAATTTCACATCATTTTCAAAAAACAGATTTCAAATTGGTTGTGGCATTGCTGAGAAAATCGCAAAATACGCTTTCTGTAAGCAAACAAGCAAGCAAGCAAGTTAATCAGCAAGAAATCTCAATAACGAGACATTGTAGAGACTTCTAGTTTTATACATTTGATCCGTGCTGCTCTATAGAAGAGCTGTATTGTTTTTGGGCAAGGTAGGAACAGCCGTTGCTTCAGAAAAAGCAAAAAACTTTCCTTTCTTACGAATTTTTCAAATTAAAAGTTCACTGTGATTTTTTTTTTATTTTAAATTAAACTTTGGATGAAAAAAATTTTTTGAGCAAAGAACCAAGAAGGAAATACATTTTCAATTTTGGACTAGGGGCGACCCTAGTCAAAATCAATTTTGTCACTTTTTTCTTCGAGGGTTTATCCAAATGGATTGAAACTTTGCATAAATGTTTAAGTGCTTAAAACAAATACAAATAAAACATCCTAAAATTTTTTTGAGCAAAGAAACAAGTAGGAAAAACATTTTCAATTATGAACTTGGGACAGGTCTAGTCAAAATCTAGTTTTTCACTTTTTTTCTTTGAAGGTTTATCCAATTACAGTGAAACTTTGTGTGAGTATACTAATATTTATACAAAACAGTTTTAAATATCTAACGCAAGAAATTTATTCTATATGTCGTCAGACCCAAATTTTATAAATTTGGTTGTACATTCAAAAACAACGTGACTTAAAATTTTGTCCAAAAAAATGATTTTTATTAATTCAGAAATGTGTGACCTGAAGATTAGAATGCGCATACAAAGTTTTACCAGAGGTCGAAGTCGATGAAGCAAACTCACTTCACTTCACGAAAATTTCAATCGGTTTCAAGTCAGCTCGAGTGAACTCAGTTTTTTCGTGTTCACTCGAGTCAACTTTTAACCGAGTTGATTTTTTCATGTTCACTTTAGTCCACTTGAAACCGACTTGAGTTCACTAAGGAAAAAAAATGTAATATACCAAACTGATTTCTGGTAGTGCTTGTGAAGTATATGTGATTACATACAAAATTGCAGAATTTGTCCTTTTTTACTTCTCATAACCATTAAGCAAATTAAACAAATTAATTTAAAATATTTTTTAGATTTCATATATTTTATAAATGTTTTGCACTATAGATTTTTTTTCTGATTTGAAATTATTTATTACAAACTGCTACAATTATGAATGAAATTTATTTTAATTCACACCATATTTCCAATTTTGGTGAATATATTTTAATTCATTTTGATGAGTGCACTGAATGAATCGTAAATTCTATTTTTTTTTCACTTGATTTTAATTTCACCATTAAATATAACATTTTTTTTTTATTTATAGAGTTAAATTTCTTTAAGGTACAAACATAAATAATGAAAAAAAAATAAAAACTTGAATTATAATAAACTGGATGTTTGAAAAATATTTTAAATTAATTCGTTAAGTTTGCTATATGGTTATGAAAAGCAAAAAAGGACAAATTCTGCAATTTTGTATATAATCACATATACTTCACAAGCACTAGCAGAAATCAGTTTGGTTTATTACATTTTTTTTCCTTGGTGAACTCAAGTCGGTTTCAAGTCGACTAAAGTGAACACGAAAATATCAACTCGGTTGAAAGTCGACTAAAGTGAACATGAAAAAATCAACTCGGTTAAAAGTCGACTCGAGTGAACACGAAAAAAATGTGTTCACTCGAGTGTGTTCACAAGGGTCACCCCTAGTCCAAAATTGAAAATGTATTTCCTACTTTGTTCTTTGCTCAAAAAAATTTTAGGATGTTTTATTTGTATTTGTTTTGAGCATTAGAATATTCATGCAAAGTTTCAATCCATTTGTATAAACCCTCGAAGAAAAAAACAAAATTGATTTTGACTAGGGTCGCCCCTAGTCCAAAATTGAAAATTGATTTTCTATTGTGTACTTTTGTTAAAAAAATTTTTTGGATGTTTTATTTGAATTGACATAATTCTGACAGAAATCATATACCAATATTACTTTTTGTAATGCATAGCTTAAGAAAACGAAATCTAAAATTTCGACTACCCCATCTGAATTTTGTTCATACTCTTCACTGTGGAAACCAAAAAACAAATTCTTTATCTTAAAACACTTGACAAAATAGCGACATAATTCAGGATTAATTACTTTTTAATAATATTTTAACATTTACGAGAAAACGTGGTTCAAATAAGTGTGAAGTATGGCCGAGATTTGGACCAAAATCAGCTATACTGGTTCATAGTGTTCCCGAGGGTGACAAAATTCAAACTAAGTGTTTTTGTAGCTGACATAATTATGACATAAATTAGGTATATCTTTTGAACTGTGTCGATATGGGTCTCGGCCGTACTTCACGCCCACACTTCAAACTTATGCTGAGCAAATCTTGGTTTATCCATAAGACTTTTGATGGTACGGTGTGAATATATCCGCATTGGGTTTCTACCCGATACACTAGTTAACTATTATTTCATTGTCATCATTTGTAGGCCCGTGTGATTATCAACCTGAAAAGCTAAGACAATTCACTGGACCATCATACAGTTTTGGTATCAAGGTAAATCCAAACGACCGACCGGGTAAGTACCCATTCACAAAGCATCTTAGCACAAGTAAAGTAAAAATTTCATAATTTATAGAATGTGAAACTCGTAGTGTCACTCCAACATCTGAATTAGCTGAAAAGCAAATTGATATTGATCAAGAATTTGCTAAAGAATTAGTAGTCACAAGAACAAAAACAAAAACACATAAAATTGCACATAAACGAGCCTAAATGTTTTAATTTTTTTTTTTCAATTAATAATAATGCTCTATTAAGTAAGTTCAGGTTCTCATAATCATCCAAATATGTTATGATTTAAGCTTTATTTCAGACGAACTCGAATTGTACTATATTTTTTTTATTTCATATTTTACTATCAAATATTTATGTCTAGCCCCGAATGTGTATAGGATCCCTACAGTTCTAGGGTCAAGTAATTACGTTCGTTCTGCTCCCTCTTTTTCTGTGACCGGAAAAATAAAATCAAAACTTCCTGAAAATCGCAACTTTCCCTCACCTGGATCATATGATGCACGTTATGATTTCGTAAAGCCAAAACCTCCAATTTTTTCAATGGGATCACGTTATAATGTTCCTACAGATGTAGCATTGAAACCTGGTCCAGGGGCTTACAGACCTGAGAAATTAAATCTTGGACATATTCCATGCTATTCATTTGGTTAGTAATCGATTTAAAGTGAATTTCCTTGCATTTTAATTGGCATTTAATTTTATGTTCTGCTCTTTATTTTACAGGCATCAAACATTCACAATATTTAGGCCATTTTAGGGAAGTTTCAGCATGACGGTCTACAATTAATAACACCGACCTTATGTTTCCACGACAAATAATTTAATGATGATTATTTTCTATTGGCGAAAAAATGTTAACAAAACCACTAACACTGCCTTTGTGCATTGTAAAAAATATGAAATTTTAAATTTAATAAAAGTTATTTTGAGCTTATAAAAATTTAAATTGTGAGTAAGTATCATTAAAAGCTTTTTAAACATTAGGTTAGTAACGTGGAAAATAATTAGAAACTTTTTATTCAGATATATGTAGATTATGTTGTTATTAAATTCAATATAGCTCTTGAACTTGCAAGGTTATCGTGCTAGCAAGGGTTGATAATGAATGGTAACACAAACTAAAAGCCTTATTAACATTTGCCTTGCTTTTTATACGACATCGTGTGTATTTCCTTTCTGACATTGATTTTCTTGCATATCATATTGTATTAACCAAATATTAAGCTATTTAATTTGTTTCTTTCAGTCAGTTGAATTTTTTTGAACTAGCAAGAAGCTCTTGAAAATTTTTATCAAGTTTTACTTAAATTTTTCCAAAATTTCTATTTCTTAAAAATATGGAGTTCATCTATTCATTTATTTCTGATGGTATGGATAAAAGACCAGCATATGGATTTAGTCAAAGACTTCGAGCGGCAGTAGAAAAGCCAAATTGTAATCCGTCTCCATTGGATTACCTTCCACAAACTTCTTCGATAAGTAAATCGAAAGGTTTTTCTTTTGGTCTTCGACCTAGAACAAATTATGTGAGTGATGAATATTATCCATCGCCAATTGATTACCTCCCGAAAGATTCATCAATAAGTAAAACAAAAGGATTTACATTTGGTCATCGACCACGAACAAACTATGCGAAAAATCGTGATTTTCCATCTCCAGCACAATATTATGTTACAGAAGAAATTGCAGTTCCACGTCCTAGAAATCTAACAGGCTATACATATGGCATGAAAACATGGTACAATTATTCATCACCGAGAAAAGATTATGGTAGAGAAGAATCAGAAAGAAATAATACGATGACGCCAACTTCATCTCATTTAATCAAAAAAGTTAAAAATAGACCAGGATATAAGTTTGGAACTGAAAAAAGGAGTAGAGCATTTAAGCCTTCAAATTGGAATCCAGGGCCAGGTAATTTAAATTAAAATATCTTGGAAAAATTATAAAATATTTTTTTTTGTAGGCGAGTATAATGTAGCAAAAAGTGATTTTATGAAAGCAGACTCGTACTATAACAATAAAGGTTTTTTATTTGGTTTACGGGTAATAATATTATTTTTTCCCCTTTTTTATTGTTTTTTTAAACATACTATTTCATTACAGTTTCCAACGTTAATCAGCTAAATTTTAATCTGTGCGTGTAAAATTCTTAATTATTTGTAAGGCAGTTTTTTCATCAATGAATATTTTTTCTTCTCTAATTTGAACCATCATTGGTAGCGTGTAACGCATGCTGTAAATAAGATCTTAAAGGTATGTAAATATTTAACGGAAATATTGTCACATTGTCATATTGACGTTGTATTACAACAGATTGCATCTTTTTAAAATTAGACCTTCAAATAAACTTTTTAAAGTACATGAAAATTCCTTATACCAAGCCTATTTTTAAAGTTTGTGTAAAAAATGCGTTGTTAACATAACTTTGTGTGAAATCGTTTAATCTTATTATATTGTGTGTGTATCCGTGTGTGTTTTTAAATAACTTCATGACGGACAGAAAAATTTGAATTGTATATAATTCTTTTTTAGTAATTATTAGTAATGGCTTCTCTTATAGCTAATGATTTTTCACACAAATTTTTGTCTATTAAAATATAATTTTCAGAAGTTATTTGCCTATATTGAAAAACAGATCTAATTTCAATTTAAAATGTTATTCAAGAACTTCTTAATTTTTTTGATTCTTTTTTATCTTTCACCACATAAGTTTTCCGGAAGAATATTTGAAATAATACAAAAAACATTACAGCATGAGCTCCGATAAAATATGAGAAATAAATAGGATAATTACATGGGTTGTGGAAGAATAATTGAAAAGAATGAACTCCCACAGCAACAAACTGAATCATTTGAAGGATTGTCAAATATTTTTTCCACCACAAATTTTTTTGCATTTCCGGTCCGAATGCTGCCATCATGTAATAAAGATACATGACAATATGTACAAATGCATTTAAAAATCCAAAAAATGTACTGTGACCTCCAGGAATAAACTTAACACCCCACCAAACTAAAAAGTGTGAATAATAAAAACATTAGGTATTGTAAAAATAAGTTGCAGTTTATCAATTCATAAAGACGAAATCATTATCGTAATCATCGATAATGTTTAAAAATGTATGTATGTAATCACCAGCTATGTTAAAATTATTGAATTATTGAATTAAAAAAATGCTTTAAATAACTTACCGCTAAAAGGCATAATTCCATGATGAATCACGTGTAATGTTGACACTTGATCAAACCTTTTGCGCAAAATGAAGAAAAAGGTGTCAAAAAATTCTGTAAATTTGCTTATGTAATACACTACAATGAAAAAACGATAAATTTTTTAAAATTATTATAAAATACTTAATTTTTTGGTACAAACCATAACATCCTCTTGCAATTCTCATTGCAGTTTCACTTCGAGAAAAGTCAACGGGTTCGCATCTCCAGTTGTAATTCCAAAGCCAACAAATAGTTAAACCTTCCCAAAATATATAAAAGCTCAATATCACTTGAGCGAGATTATATAGAATTAAGATATACTTTAATTTAAATGGCTTTCTATTTTTCATGATATTAGGTCCAACTTCCTGATAATAAATATGATCTCAATTTACAATTTGAATATTTTAAAATTTTGAACACTTACTTTAACAATATAGACATATAAAATGCAAATCCAAATTGTTGGAAACGGAGATGACATAAATAACCAATCGGATGTTCGTGGATCTGAATATTTATTCATTAGATCAGCCCAATTTTCGTAGATTTTATTTAAAATACTCATTATTGTTTTAAAAAAAACACTCAAAATTTTAAAACTTATTAAAATGTAATGTCTTAAGTAACGTGTATACTGCTCAAATTCTAGTGCTTAACTAAACATTATGCGAAAAAGATCAGCTTGAGACTGAAAAAGCCTTGGAAAAAATTAATCATAATGAAAGATTTGCTCCATGTTGAGCTTCTTTGAATAAGGTTTTTAAAATTAGATATTTCTTTAAGTTTTTAAACAGAAAAAAGTTATTTCTTCTATAAAAACAGTCAGCTGTAATATTTTAAGTTCCTTAATTTTAAAGTTACATTTTTTTGAAGACTAAGTTGATTTTATTTGCATTTTCAATAAAATAAGAGTACAGGACGTTTACAAATTTAAAATAAAAAAAATATTTGATGATGATAATTTTTATCAAAGAAAATTATTTCTTTACAAATTCGACTTCACTTTTGAAACAGCTTTTTCCCTGTTAAATAAAGTTTTGTTAAGATACTGCAAAAAAACTAAAAAAGATAACTTACAGTATCGTGTTGTATGGTTATTTCAGTACGTATTGGTCCACCAAGAGCAAGCTGAAGGAAACTCTTATACTGTTGAACGTTGGCCTTTTTAGAGCCATCCTCACATTTAGTTTGCTATTGGATGATAAAATTCATACATAATTCAAAACATAATCAAAATTTCTCACTTTTTCAATTGGGCACTTATCAGGTAGTCCGAAAAGTTTTATCATTTCTTTTACTTCTGGTTTCAATTTTTTCAACTCAGCACAAGCATCAATATCACCGCGTAGAACAATGCTGTCAATTAAGCAATTATTTTGATTTAAATAGACGTATTAAAATATGACTAAAAGTTCTCTTACAGATTGTTTTTGTATATCTCATAATGAAGCATAGCAGTCTTAAATCCTTCGGTTTCTGCACAAACTGTTGGAACAATTTCACAATCCTTTGTAAGTTTCGCAGTTGAATTGTCTTGGAGTTTAATCACATTATTACTTCCACAATTTTTCATATAGTGAATTTTTAACTTAAACCCTTGCTGTATCCGATTAATGTTGATTAATAGAAATTGGATTAATTAGGAATATATTTTACTTACACATGCTGTTGATTCATTGATCAAGTACAAGAGTAAAACAGCAAGCAAGAAATTTTTGAAAATCCCCTCCATCGTAAAGATTTTTATTTCAAAAATTTCTCACAAAAAGTTCGACTTCAACCAGAACATGCAATCTATATGAGCTCAAAATAGAGTAAATTCTCATATTTATACAGCTTTTCGGACATTAAAATCGTTAATATTGGTAAGTTCACCATTTTATCAGATTATCTTTTTGAACCATCATTAAGCTAGTAGGTTCATTAAAATTTTAATAAGATAAATATATGGAAAATTTTAAAATTTATTCAAGGGAAAATAATCACTTCCGATTAGGTTTCATACATTCATACAAAAATTATGAACATTTTGCAGTTTCATCGGAAATTTTTATAAAAGATTATGGAAAAATCACCAATTTTATTTATAATTGGAGTTAATTGTTTATTTTTGAAGGAAATCAGAAGGTGACAATAAAAAAAACTGACTTTTGTAATTAAATATTATATATACGCAGAGATGCTTTTAAACAAAAATCTTTTACTTTTGAAATACCATCTTTTATTTTAAGTGATCTGGTTAGAGTTTAAGAAATTTCGTCTTTTTAATCTTAAGAAACGTTTTAAGGCTTTATTAACAGCTCACAAGTTAAAATACCTTTAATTCTATTTATTTTTAAAAACTTGAGATATCACCACATTTTATATAAAGTTTTATGTGAAGTAGGGATTGTATTTTTTCAAATCTACTTTATAAAATTAAAAGAAATAATAAATCTAAAAGATTTTTTTAATTTGACCACAAGAACATCGATTTGATCGTTATTATTTTTTTCAAATTGATTGTTCACCAAAAAAAATTTAAAAAAATTATTACGGTTATTTTTTCCACAGTTATTTAATGAGTTTTCTATTAGTCTGAATTCCATTAAATTATGCAGTACAAAAGTTTAATAATTGTGATAATATTTTTCTTCTTATTGTAATAATTTTTCATTAAGAAAATTGAAGATCTTTATGTTGATTGATATAAATAAACAAATATTTACAAAAGTCGCGTAAACAATAAATATTCTCTCTTAAAATCAGCCGCATGCCATACCATGCAACTCTCAAATAATTTTATTTTTTTTTTCTCTTTCATTGTATATTAGTTTCGCGGAGCAGTCAGACGTGTCTTCTTTCTGTGCGGTTGAATAAAAATACTTTATTAAGTCACCTTTACAGTTACGTTGTATGTGATCGTCGTGATTTTACAATCATTGATTTCGGTTCTATATAAGTATGAAATTCAAATTAGTCAATTGCAAAAAATATAAAGAAATTCAATTCAAAGAAATACTCAATTTTGAAAAAGTCTAAAATAATATAAAATAATTAAACTAAGAATGATAAAAAAAATTCATTAATAACCAAGTATTATTCAAATGTGTGCGTGTTAAGTGGACAAATATTGAAAGTGTATACATCCACACGTGATGATCGAATACTGTTTAAATGTAGAAGTCAATTGTACAATTATACATAAGTATCGAGAATATATTAATAAAAAGAAAAGAAAATATTTATGTGCGACGAAATTTATATACCCAAAAAACTTAATTGATAAATATCTATTTATATAAATGATATGTCTTAAGCTATTCTCTAAATTTCAACTTCTTCGATTTATGAATCATCCATGTCTTGTGTAATTCGATACATAAAAAAAAAGCTTGTTAATTGAAGTGATACAAGGAAAAATACGTAAAAGTGTTGATATAAAAATATAACTATTTAAATTCATTGCGAAACCACTACAGTCATATAGATAAGAATGATATGCAGAATTCATTTTTTTTTGAAATACAATAGTATATCATTGTTGATTGATGATTTAAATGAATGAAAAGAACTTTTCATTAAAAGATCATAACATTTTTGGAGAAAAAAGAAATATTGTTGATTCGAGAAATTTCAATTTGACCGGATGACGGGTGTGACAATATTTTTTTTTATCTTTTGTTATATATAATTCTGAAAAATAATGAGTTGATAAGAAACGTAGGAAATGCAAAATCAAGTGCTGAATCCTATTTTAAGCGTTTGTTTGAAATTAAATTTGTCATCTTTTAAAATGTCAAATTTTTTAAAAATATTCAATATGATGTGTTGGTTGATTTTTACAAATAACATCGTTTATCATATTGTCGCATAAAAATATACATGATAATAATTCCGAATTGAAAATGTTTTAATTATTATGAACATATGTTTGTTGACATTCCATAGCTCATGTTTTAATACATAGTACAAAATGAAATGAAATATTTAATCTCTTCCTCTTTGAATTAGTTTGAGCGAACCTTTTATCATTACTTTAAAAAACTTGTTTTAATGCATAATACTGATATGTATGAGAACATAATTTAAATAATCTAAAAAACTTATTGAAGTTGATTCCTCAAAAATACAATTAAGTAATGTTGTATTCGCATTACATGTTAAAATTTTATTTAATGTTTGCTTTAACATTCATAAGATAAGATAAAACCGATTTATTTGGTAAAATTCTCAGCGAATAAAAAATGCAACTGTATTGATAATGATTAGCTTGAAGTGTGATTTTTTTTTGTTTTGTTGTTTCCTTAAGAAATTGTCTTATAACTGATAATTGACTTATTAGATGGGTTTGCTGATAAGCGTGTATTTTAATAGACAACTGATACTCTATTCGAATCTTTTATCATGAAAAAAAGAAAAAGGAGCAATCAATAAAAAATTAATGATTTTTAAGGCTTAAAACGAAATAAGAAATGCTTAATATGAAGAAACATTAGTGACGTCATTTTGAATCACGCAAATGTTAGCGTAAATTCGAAGAAATGTGAATGAGTTAATAGTGTAATGTTTACCTATTAAAAATCTTTCGTGACTTCTTTTATGATGCGAAAATTATTACTATAAAGTTAATTTACACATGCGATTTGAAGTATGTACTATTTCCCTGCTCCTAAATTAACATAATCAATACTTTTATAAGAATGCCTGCAAATTTGTCGGTAAAAATTTTAGTAAATAAATTTTTCTCCATAAATGAGACCACTGAGGATAAATGAATGCGTGAAATATAAAATAGCAAAGCTAAATATTTAGAGATTGATGGCTCCTCCTCGATTAAACTAAAGCATATATCACGTGTTGCGTTTAAGGGATTTAATACGGTATGAAAAACATTTGACAATTCTTATCAGATTTTGAATGAAACATATGCTATTGTTTAGTCCATGAAACACAAAGCCAAAAATCAATTAATACGCAAGCGAATTGAATTTTTTTGAGAGAATTAAGGCGAAGCTAAAGAACTAAGAACAGCGTGAGGTCAATGATGAGAATCAATTTAATTAATTAATAAGTTTGACTTCTATGCTCGTATTAAGTTGTGAATTCATGATTTGATGTCATAAACTTTTTTTTGTTTATGTGTCTTTTAATTATTTTAATGACTTTGTGTGCATCATGTTAATTGACTAACATATTTTTCTTTTTTGTGAGGAAATATATAAGAAAAATCTGAATAATTTTAAACTTAAATTTTTGAACAATTCCTTGAAAGCGTGAAATATCAATTTTAGTAGAAAAATAAGTGAATATATGCACAATATGGAAACGGAACACTTTTTTTTTATTTTACCTTAGTGGTAACGTGAAGTTTTTTAATAAAAAAAATTAAACAACACTCAACATGAGATCAGACTTTCATAGAAAATAATATGAAATAAATTGAATAAAGTTTTTATTGGCAGCGTGTTGTATAAACAATATGATGATTAAGAACGAGAGTATTTCGTGCTAGAACGTATTTATTTAAAATCATTAAATACCGACCGAATCACCGCACTTTTTCTATTTATTCATGTTTAGGAAAAATTTCATCCGGAAAATTCACCAGATCCACTTAAAAATGTGTTTGCTCAAGTGTGAATCACCGCATTATTTGTGAGAGAGCGAGAATATATGTTTGAGAGGAACTTGTGCTCTCAAAATAACTCATTGAAAATCGAATTGCTTTCAAATGTATTTATTTGGTATACAAATACAAACTTATTATACATGCACGATAAAACCGATCGTAATAATTGAATAACAATATCAACGTATTTGTGTTCTTAACATGTTAAATGAATAAATTTATGTGAATGTGAAAATTTAATTTGTCTGAAAATGAGGAAAAATATTTCTGTGATAGTTTCAATTTTTCAATTTTGGATTTTAATTCAATGCATCTCCTATGCAGCAACTGGTGAGTTGTGTTACATAATTTAAACATTAGATTAGAGTCTTTAAAAACTAAGTTGATTATAAATATTTTAATAATTTTTATAATCCTTTTTAACAGTACAAAACCCATTACGTGGTTATCATGGAGCTCCGATTATAGATCCGTACGATTCTGTTGTTATTAGTGTAAATGAAGGTAGAATAATAGAATGTAAGGGAAAAGAACCCATCACTTGGGTATCTGAGGTATATATTTTTCAAACTAGTGCTAGATCGATATAATAAAAAAGTTAAATTTTAGATTATCAAAAATTTTCCTGATGCAGTGGAAATAACTTTTTTCGAGGGCAACATTAAAGATGATGATTCAATAATATTTACAGAAGATCAAAATCTCTTTCATAGTCATTTAGAATTAAAATCAGTTACTATAAGTCAAGTTGGATTTTACTACTGTGTTCATAATAGATCAGTAAGAATCGACAACGATTTTGACTATGAGAAAGAAGTTATTGATTATGAAGCATCAAGCATTTATGTCTTTGTCAATGGTATGGTAATTCAATATAATTTTTAATAGTTTCATTTTATAAATTCATTTAAATTTATTTAGATACTGAAAATCCACTCTACAATCATAATCAAAATTTAATCTTTGCAAGGCAATATGAACCATTCATTATTCCATGTAAACCAAATTCTCCAGATGTGAAAATAGAACTAATTAAAGATGGTGAAGAGGTAAAGAAAGAAAATTTTGACATAAAAATTGGATTCAAGCTAGTAGAAAATCATACTGCAGAAAATATCATTCTTGAATGTTATGGATATTTAAACGAATCGTGTCGATTTGAAAAGTCAATGATTTTAAGCATCAATCGTAGGTTTTCACAAAATATTTAAAAGAATATTATCAATATCAAATAATCAGTATAAAATATCCAAAAATCATATGTATACTTCATAAATTTATTTATTAGAACGTACATACTTAACTTTTGAAAAATATTTATACCTCACATTAAGCTGTGATAAAAAGATCATTGTACAATAGTTATTAAATAATTTAAGTTATATTAAATTGTATTTAATAATTTCCAATATATTTTTCTGAACAAACTACAGCTTCAAGTTATACTAGCTGAAAACCAAAATATAACACTTCTAATTTATATATTATTACAATTAAATTTTGAATATTCTTTCATCCCTTAAAAAACGATCAATATTTGAAATTAGATACACTACATAGGAAATTATGATCCAAAAATTGGATTCACCGTTTTCTTTTCACATGTCGAAGATAGTGGATTTTTCGAGTGTCGTCTACAGGATGATCATGATAATTATATAGAATTCCATGTTACAGTAAATGAGCAACGTGAGTCCAATTATTAGGTGTAGCAAATTGTGATTGGGAATATTTTCATCTCTTATTAATAACAATTTAAACATGTTCTTGTTACTGCTTATTTAGTTATAACTACAATCTTTCCTACTTCTACTATCAATTTTTCATCGTTGAAGCTTCACAAAAGATCCATAAATTCTTTATCTGGTGACGGAAAAAGCTCTGTTCAATATGGAACAAAAAATACTAAAGCACAGGGTGTGTTAACAAATTCTTTGGTGTCTTTATTCACGTTTTTGCTATTTAATCTCACAAAATTTATGTTTAGAATGTTTTAGGGAATTGAAATTAATTTCGTTTTGCACTTTTAGCTTCACTAGGAATAACAATGAAATCCTATTTTGTGTTGTGAGCACTAATGTTTTTTTATTATTTTTAAAATTTTATGATAAAGTCTTTTATAAGTTCGAAAAAACTTGATGTCCAGAAAAACAAATGAAAATCAAAAACTTTTCAGCATTTTATTGTTAATAACTTATATAACATTTAAAAGTACTTCGTAATGTTTAAACAATTTTTAAAAGAATTTTTATAAGCTGTAAATTTGTGAAAGGATTCTGTAAATTTTTATTATCTTTTCTAAAATGCATGCATGTATGTGTTCTTTATCATAGTTTTTGTTATGCATGTGATCTTAGTTGAATTAAATTACTTTGTTTCCTCACTGTAAAGACAAGTGTATAGATTATTGAATAATATGTATTTTTCTCTTATTACTATTAATTTTAGAAAAAAGGGATAAAGGTAAACATTGGTGTCTATAAAATTCTTTGTGAAAAGCTTTTCCATTTATAATCACTTTTTTCAAATTCAATTTATTTATTGATTATTTTTTTGGTTCCAATTATTTTCCATTAATTTTTTAGCTATTTTTTTTTCAAAATTTGTGATAAAAATTAAGGCAGCAATTGTGCTTTTAAATTATTAATACTATTTATCATTTATTTTTTAAAAAATGAAATTTCAAAAAAAAACTTAAGTTTCCACTTTTGACTTCAAATAATATTATTTTTGCATTGCATGTTTCCTCTTCATTTACTTTATGTTTTACAATTTTGTAATTTAATTCGTTTGGAATGTTAATTTTTTAGAAAAAGAACTAAAACGTTAAAAAAATAGACTATTAACTTTAAACTACATTTTAATTCACAGCATTATCAATATATTTGAAGAAGCCTATTATAATTAGCGATTCCCAAAATTATGCTAAAAATGGCGATAACTTTACATTAACATGTAATGTTGAAATGACTTCTGATGCAGCATACTTAATTAAGTTTAACTTACCTAATGGAAAAGAAGCACAAACATCAGATTACTTAACATTATCAGAAATTGAACATGAGCATAACAACAAACGGAAATCACATAGAAATTTGACCATTCACAAGGCTTTAGATGAAAGAGATCAGGGGGATTATACATGCATCATAATAGATTTATTCAATAACAGTAATTCTGCAATGTCATCAATCACATTTGTTGACAAACCTGTCGTCCAGCTAAATTCATCAAATCCTATGATAAAAACAAGCAAAGGAAAGAAAACGGCTAAGTTTCATTTAAATTATTTTGCCTACCCTAAAGCTAGTTTTGAATGGTATGATCCTCATAAAAATTTGATTGCAAAAGACAACAATATTATGACACGAGAAAAATATAATATAGCGATATCTCCCGACGACATGACATTCACTATCAAATTCCCGGGTATTGAAGATTATGGTGAATATACACTTGTTGCTTTTACTGATGGAGAGCGTTTTGAGAAAAAAGTCATGCTAGTAGTTTCAGGTATGCTAAATGTTAAGTGTACATTAATGAAAACTATAATAAATTTAATTATTTAGAAAAACCAACATGTAAAATGGAAGATGCATACATCATGCAAGGAGAAGAAATTCATATGAAATGTGAATGCATGGCTTATCCAGCAGCTGAAATCATATGGTCATTTCAACCTTGCCAACATCCCATACTTTGGCCAAAGTGTCGAGATGTAAAGAATATTAATACTGTAAGTAAAGTGTCCTCGTAGTTTTATAAAAGCTTTACTCACCAAAATTTTGCACATCATTTAATTAGCGTATTATAGCCGAAAAATATCAGATGCTCGATATTGAATTGGTTAGTATTACTAACATCTACATTTAGGCACAATTTTTTTAAAGTTACAAAATACTGTCTTGCTTTCAATTTTCGACAAGATGAAAATAGTAGATAATAAATTTAGGGTTTAAAAAATTCATATCATATTATACATTTATAAACAGGATGAACTTAACGAACAAAATCAAAATGAAACACAAAATACGCAGGATGCAGAAACAATCCAATCGTCAGAAATCAGGTTTACAGCATCACAACCTGGAACAGTAAAATGTCGAGCTAAAAATGATATTGGAGAGGATAAAATTGAAGCAAAAGTACAAATAGTAGATCTTTCTGCGCCACTTTTAATATCAGGCATTGATGAGAATCAAAATATTGCTATTGGTGATAACGTAACATTGGAATGTGGAGCCATAATTTATAACTATACTGATAAAATTAGATGGTTAAAGAACGAGGAACCTGTAGAAGAAAGAAACGATCTTCATATAAAAGATAGTAGTGTTCGATTTTCATATAGACAATCATTAAGTTTTGATGCAATATTGAAAGAAGATGAAGGCGAATATAAATGCGAAGTCTATGATAAAGAGAACAATGAATTGCATAGTGTAACCACTTTTGTCAATTTACATGAAGCTCAACCTCCGTTAGTAGTAACAAATTTCAATCAATCTAAGCTTTCACAGCCATTAGGAGGTACTTTGACACTTGATTGTTTTGTTAGTGGACTTCCAATTCCTAGTCTTAGATGGTAAATTTTTAAGTCATTTGTTAAATACATGTATAGTTTTATTAATAAAATTTCCTAACATTTAAATAGGAATAAAGATGGAGAGCTTTTTGAGGTGAAAGAAAACGATACAAGAATATCATTGATGAACAATGAAATGACACTAGTGTTCACTGTCTTGAAGCCAGAAGATAGTGGATATTATGAATGTATTGCTGAAAATCGAGTTGCAAAAGAAATAAAGGCTATAGAACTTGATGTTTCAAGTGAGTGTGATGGCTCAATTTGCTAGTACTTGATAATATTTTGTTTATTTTATTAATAAATGTAGCTCCAGCAGGTCAACTAAGCAAGGCGATTATTATCAGTGTTTTGAGTATTATCGTCCTATTAGTATTGCTTTCATTATATTTATGCATAAAAGTACAACGCAAAAAGAGACAAATTGCTGAATTGAAAGCAGCTGGTTTAGCGAATTTTGAGGAAGGAAATATAGAAAGTATTGATCCGGATGTAAACTTAGATGAACAAGCTGATCTTTTGCCATATGATAAAAATTTTGAGTTTCCACGAGAGAAATTAAAACTTGGAAAGCAATTAGGAGCTGGTGCATTCGGAGTTGTCGTTAAAGCTGTCGCTCAAGGAATCGTTCACTATGAAGATGAAACAACAGTTGCTGTTAAAATGGTCAAAAAGCAAACAGATAATGAAGTGATGAAAGCTTTAGTGTCAGAATTGAAAATAATGATTCATTTGGGACAACATCTTAATGTTGTGAATTTATTAGGAGCTGTAACAAAAAATATTGCAAAACGTGAGCTGATGGTTATTGTCGAATATTGTCAATTTGGTAATCTTCAAAGCTTTCTTGTCAAACACCGTCCTTATTTTATTGATCAAGTGAGAAATGACAGAATTGATCCAATGATAATGAAAAACGAATTGAGATGGTCAAAAAATAGCAATTATAATTCATATAACAGGTATGATGATTTTTTTTTCCTTTATGAAATGTCGTAAAACTCACTTGTATCATACAAATTAAAACATTGCATTACGCAATACGAGCATTTTTATGGCATAATATTATTTAAGCTTAAAATTTATGGTTAATATAATCTAAAATTTCACATATGTATGTCGTGTCATATTAACACATCATGTAATAATCTCATATTCATTCATCCTTTTTTTTATAAGTGCATGCTTTGTTTTATAGTAATAACACATTTAAGAATTTTAAAAAGCTTTATAGCATATTTTTCTCCTTCTTGTTCTTTCTTCTATAACTAACAATCTTTTTCTGCGCTTAACTTTCTTCATGTTTTCTTGGCACGGTTATGGATTTTGCGTTTTATTTTGGTGTGTGGTTTTACAAATACTATTAAACATAGTCAAGGACTAAAATATATTAGTGTGGAATTTGCACATGATAAAATAATGCCAAAGGATCATTCATATATTAATATTAACGGAAATCGTTATATAAACTTCAGTGATGGAAATCAATACACTCCGCATGTTGGACATATGCCAATGGGAGTTGCAAATCCAGGAAATCATATGACATCGCATGGCTATGTTAGACATTCAGGATTTCAACAAATCGATAGCTGTAATACTGAAGCAACAGTTGTATCAGCAACAGATGGTAAAAAAAAGTTTGTGCTATATTATAAAGTTTTTATACAATTTATCTTGTTCTTTAATCAGGAGAGGAAAGTGCTCTCTTATCAAATAACTCTGATGCTCAGCCTCCATGGAGATCAAATTATGGGATGGATTACAAAGGTCCAGTTCGTTCTGTTTGTACCTCAGACCTTGTTTGTTGGTCATTTCAAATTGCCAGAGGAATGGAGTATTTATCATCAAGGAAAATTCTTCATGGAGACCTTGCTGCTAGAAATATTTTGCTATGCGATGATAATATCGTGAAAATGTAAGTTTAAAGGAATCCATTTCATTTGAATTTTATTAACCCTTTGATTGTCTCTAGATGTGACTTCGGTCTTAGTAAGTCTATGTATAAAAACGACAACTACAAACGAAAAGGAGAAGCTCCTTTGCCATTTAAATGGCTCAGTTTGGAAGCCATATCAGACCATGTATTCTCAGTTTATAGTGATATTTGGAGTTATGGTGCGTAAACAATTACATTCTTTATTTGCTTTATCCAACTCAAATCACATTTTTATCTTTTTTTTTTAAAAAAAAGGTGTTGTGCTATGGGAAATTTTTTCACTTGGAAAAATTCCTTACACTGGGCAAGAAGCTAATCAAGAACTTTTTTATAAGCTTAGAGATGGTTATAGAATGGAAAAGCCAAAATATTCTACTCAAGATATTTATGACATCATGCTTAATTGTTGGAATGCAAAGCCTGAGTCAAGACCTTTATTTAATGAACTTGGGCGTAAATTGAGCTCATTTATGATGGACAGCGTAAAAGATGTAAGAATTTTGTTGGCATTAATGTCAAAACTTGATGAAAAAACTTTCTTAACAATTTTTTTATTTCACAACAGCATTATTTAGACTTAAATGAGCCATATATGCAGGCAAATACAGATAATTACAAAAAGGGTGTTCGTGATTATTTAACATCGCTTTCAATTCCTGAAGAAGAAGCACCGATTCCTCCATTAGCAGAAGAAGAAAATTTTTATGTTAATAATAGTGTACCAGATGTTAATGCTCCATCAACTCCTGATTATCTTTCGATGAGTCCGAAGAGTGGTGTTGTGAAATTTAACTCAAATAAAAACGATTATCTTAGACCAGATTCACCAACAATTACAAAGAATCTAGATACTAGTCCTAAAAATAAGAAAAATTTAAATAAAAACGCTGAGCTTCCGGAAGAAATCCCAATGCTTTCGCATAATCAAAATGGATTATTATCAGTTGAAGATACTGATGTTGAAGCACAAAATAGCTATACTGACATGAAATTTCCATCTGTGAAAAATCCTCAAGATCCAGAGTATAAAAACATTTTTGCTACAAACGAAAATTATGTAAATATCCCAGCTACAAATAAGAATTCATCAATTGCTAATCCATCGTATATTACTTTTCAGTCAGTAAAGGAACGTAATCATTGATGCTAACTGTTATTTTTTCTATTATTTTATTAATTCATTGTCATACAAATTATCGATGTTTTAACAATTTATATTTAATACTGAATAGTATTTAATTATGGTTAAAAATAAAATAAATTCAAAGTAAATAAACCCTATTCATATTTTATTTGACTTTACAAAGAAATTTTGAATTATATTTAATACTATTACAGTTTAATGGAAGAATTTTATATCCTTCAAAATTAGATATTGATATTGGCAAAAACCGTGTCTGATTATCTTAAAAGTATGTATAAATATATAAAATTGTAAGATCTTAATATATGTTCATTTTACAATTGTATGTTTACTGAGAACTTTTATAATATTTGAATTGAAATTTCTAATGTCTTTATCTCTAATATATATCTCACTAATACAAAAGAGATGATTTTACAATTTTACAAAAATTATCAAATATTTGAATTCTAGATTTTTTAAAATTAAAATTGTAAGAATATTTTTGGTGAAAAATTGAAAATCTTAATTGCATAAGCTCGAACATACAAAGAGCATACTCAGAGCACATTATTTGTGAGCTTGATAGCTTTTGTGAAAATGTGCTCATTTTCATACGTTTCAGTGATGCGCTTACGGTACCTGTTTGAGCATGCTCATTGAGTACATTCCTGTGTGACATATATTAAGCTCATTGAGTAAACTCATGAGCATACTCAAATGAGAAGGTAACATGTCACATGCAACATTTTTCTCATGTAACATTTTTATTGAATATACTCATGAACATTCTCAAAGAGCATATACTCATAAATATTCTCAATGAGTACATACTCATAAACGAACTCAAAGAATATATACTTAGTGAGTATATTTATGAGTATAAGCTCATCTGAGCACACTCATGAGTGCACTCAAGTGAAGTTGCAAAATTCAAAAAATTAATTAAGCTAAATTTGAGTATTCTAGGTAAGCTGAAATTAGGGTTTTCAATCCCGGGATCCCGTGATCCCGCGTTTTTTTTTGGTCCCGTAATCCCGGTATTGAAAACAGCTTCAATCCCGGTATTACGGGATTGAGTAAGTAGTTAAAATTTTTAAAAAATTCTTAAATTTTGTAAAAAAATTCGTTCGCAAGAAATACAAATAATTCTCATATTCATGACCAAGATCAAAGTCAACCATCAAGTATTATACATCATTAGAAAGTGACTTAAGCTATAATAAACTGGAAACAAAATTAAAAAATAGTTTGTTTTGTAAGAGTACTAGTGGTTTGAGTGATGAGAAAAGCATACAAGTCGTCAGATATCAAATGTACCCAATATCTCATCAAATTTTGAACTTTTTGAAAACATTTCTTCACCATTTGTTTTGTAACAGTATTTTTGATTAGAAAACATGAAAAAACTTATTTCTATTCATTGATTTACATTTTTTATAAGCAATTTTAGTTTTTGGTTAAATATTCATCGACTCACTAAAATCGCTATCGTAATCCCGGTATTGAAAATTTGGACCGGGATTGAAAACCCTAGCTGAAATTAAGCAATTTAAAGCATTTTTGGTTTTCGATCATAGTGGGCTTTTTTTAAAAAAAAATATCGAATTTATATCTATATTAGCATTCTTTATCATTTATAATACCTAGATATGTTTTAAAAATGCAATTTTAAGCATTTTTGGTTTTGATCATAGGAGGCTTTTTTCAAAAAAAATTTCGATTTTATATCTATATTAGCATCTTTTATCATTTATAATACCTAGATATGTTTTAAAAATGCAATTTGAAGCATTTTTGGTTTTGATCATAGTAGGCTTTTTTCAAAAAAAATTTCGATTTTATATCTATATTAGCATCTTTTATCATTTATAATACCTAGATATGTTTTAAAATACAATTTAAAGCATTTTTGGTTTCGATCATAGTAGGCTATTTTTTAAAAAAAAATTCGATTTTATATCTATATTAGCATCTTTTATCATTTATAAGACCTAGATATGTTTTAAAAATGCAATTTGAAGCATTTTTGGTTTTGATCAAAGTAAGCTTTTTTCAAAAAAAATTTCGATTTTATATCTATATTAGCATTCTTTAACATTTATAATACCTAGATATGTTTTAAAATGCAATATAAAGCATTTTTGGTTTTGATCATAGTAGGCTTTTTTCAAAAAAAATTTCGATTTTATATCTATATTAGCATTCTTTATCATTTATAATACCTAGATATGTTTTAAAATACAATTTAAAGCATTTTTGGTTTCGATCATAGCAGGCTATTTTTAAAAAAAATTTTCGATTTTATATCTATATTAGCATCTTTTATCATTTATTTATTTATCATTTATTTAGGCTTTTTTCAAAAAAAACTTCGATTTTATATCTATATTAGCATTCTTTATCATTTATAATACCTATATATGTTTTAAAATGCAATTTAAAGCATTTTTGGTTTCTGATCATAGCAGGCTATTTTCCAAAAAAAATATCGATTTTATATCTATATTAGCATTCTTTATCATTTATAATACCTAGATATGTTTTAAAATACAATTTAAAGCATTTTTGGTTTCGATCATAGTAGTCTAATTAAAAAAAAATATCGATTTTATATCTATATTAGCATTCTTTATCATTTATAATACCTAGATATGTTTTAAAATGCAATTTAAAGCATTTTTGGTTTTGATCATAGTAGGCTATTTTCAAAAAAAATATCGATTTTATATCTTTATTAGCATTCTTTATCATTTATAATACCTAGGTATGTCTTGAAATGCAATTTAAAGCATTTTTGGTTTCTGATCATAGCAGGCTATTTTCCAAAAAAAATATCGATTTTATATCTATATTAGCATTCTTTATCATTTATAAGACTAAGATATATTTTAAATTCAATTTAAAGCATTTTTGGTTTCGATCATAGGAGGCTTTTTTCAAAAAAAATATCGATTTTATATCTATATAAACATTCTTTATCATTTATAAGACCTAGATCTGTTTTAAAAGCAATTTAAAGCATTTTTGGTTTTCGATCATAGTAGGCTTTTTTTAAAAAAAAATATCGATTTTATATCTATATTAGCATTCTTTATCATTTATAAGACTAAGATATATTTTAAATTCAATTTAAAGCATTTTTGGTTTCGATCATAGTAGGCTATTTTTAAAAAAAAAATTCGATTTTATATCTATATTAGCATCTTTTATCATTTATAAGACCTAGATATGTTTTAAAAATGCAATTTGAAGCATTTTTGGTTTTGATCAAAGTAGGCTTTTTTCAAAAAAAATTTCGATTTTATATCTATATTAGCATTCTTTAACATTTATAATACCTAGATATGTTTTAAAATGCAATATAAAGCATTTTTGGTTTTGATCATAGTAGGCTTTTTTCAAAAAAAATTTCGATTTTATATCTATATTAGCATTCTTTATCATTTATAATACCTAGATATGTTTTAAAATACAATTTAAAGCATTTTTGGTTTCGATCATAGCAGGCTATTTTTAAAAAAAATTTTCGATTTTATATCTATATTAGCATCTTTTATCATTTATTTATTTATCATTTATTTAGGCTTTTTTCAAAAAAAATTTCGATTTTATATCTATATTAGCATTCTTTATCATTTATAATACCTAGATATGTTTTAAAAATGCAATTTGAAGCATTTTTAGTTTCCATCATAGTAGGCTATTTTCAAAAAAAATATCGATTTTATATCTTTATTAGCATTTTTTATCATTTATAATACTTAAATTTGTTTTAAAATGCAATTTAAAACATTTTTGGTTTTGATCATAGTAAGCTATTTTCAAAAAATATCGATTTTATATCTATATTAGAATTTTTTATCATTTATAAGACCTAGATATGTTTTTAAATGCAATTTAAAGCATATTTGGTTTTCGATCATAGTAGGCTATTTTCAAAAAAATATCAATTTTATATTTATATTAGTATTCTTTATCATTTATAAGACCTAGATATGTTTTGAAATGCAATTTAAAATTAAAACATTTTTGCAGAGGGCGAAGTCGACTCGAAATTTGTATGAAGTCGAATGAACTCAAGTCGACTTTTCCATCCAAAATCCGAGTCGACTTCGCCCTCTGCATTTTTGGTTTTGATATGCTTTGAAATGCAATTTAAAGCATTTTTGGTATTCGATCATAGCTGGCTATTTTCAAAAAAATATCGATTTTATATTTATATTAGAATATTTTTATCATTATAGCGTATGTATTGGTGAAGTAAAGGACAGACGGATAGAGAGAAGGAACCACACTTATATTGTCATATCAAAAATAAAAAGATTCGTTTTTCTAATAAATAAATAAAATATATCATTTAAAAACATTAAAAACTTAATATCTAGACATTAATATATACATAAAGCTCATTAAAACTCAATTAAATTCGAGTTTCAATACATATTTAAGTATTTAGTGATAAAAATAGTATTTTGAACCACCTCACACGTGGTCGCTTAGAACAGCAAGAGTTTATGATTGATCTATCAGCATCAAGCATTTTCTGGCGAGAGTTGCAGCTCATAGAGCTTGATTGTGGACGAAAGCAAGGCTGGAATCCAATATTCTCGAACGCTATAACAATTTATAGAGCATTTGATAATTCTATAGGACAATTTCGTCCATACACAGTGCCTGTAACACAAATAATCGACCCATTTAATGAAGTTTCATTCCATAGCTATCAATCGCAGACAAATCAAGGAGTTTTCGAACCTAGACTGCTACAAAAGAGAACTGGCGCCGAACGCAACTGCTCACTTTGGAAAGTCGTAACTCAATGATCGTCGTAACAATTGCCTGTCATAAGTAAGGAATTGCAACATCCAGTAGCAAATTTTGGACTTAGATTATTCCTGGATCTTGAGAAACAGCCAAACCATCATCAAACTAATGAGTCTAATTATGCTCTATTCTATGTCAACATTTAATTAATTATGAATAACAATTCATATCAATTTAATGGTAATAATTATTACCAATCCAACAGCCATAATTTTCAACCTCTACCATATAACGGATCTTATTCATCGCCTAATTACTCCCATGGAACTAATACCTATTTCAATAGTTTTGCTGATAATGGAATTAATTATGTTCCACGACAATCATT